CGGCCCCCCCCTGCCACTGGAGTGTGCTGGGGAAGGGAAGCAGGAGTCCATCCAGGGGCTGACAGGACTCCAGGCAAGAAACCCAAGTTCAGTCCCTGTTCAGTGTGGATGGTGCCAGCTGAGAAGTTTCCAAGTGGAAGGGTTCAAGTTACAGAGCAGGAACTGAGTGCACAGTGTCACTAATGAGCCCATGCACTTTTCATAGGGATTAGTAATTAAGCAATTAGGTACATGCCAGGCGCATGAGAGAACCTCACCCCAAATAGGAGGAGGCATAACTGTGCTTGCAAGTGTGTGCCTTAGAAATATGTGAAAGGGAGATAGAGCTGGGCTGGTTTGTGTCTGGGCTTTGGCAGAGTTTGACCCTCTTGTGTGTTGCCTGGTCACCAAACATCCAGGCTATTTTCTGGGTGGCCCTGATAAGAAAGATCACTTGGTAAGAGCTGGTATTGAGTTGTGTGGCTCGCAGGGGTACTGAGGCAAGGACAGCTGGGAGGTACAGGTGGTGTCTGAGTGTTGGGTTAGGATTGGGGTGAGCTGCACCTCCTGGCACACAAGGGGAGAGGAAGGTCCAGGAGAGCCCAACTAGCATAAGGCTTTCCTCAGCCCCAGTGGATGAAGGGAGAGGTCGCTTTGGTGGTCGAGCGCAGGGAGCTTCTCCTACTGCGTGCATGACCTTGGACAACCAGCTGTTTGCTGTGGAGCTGTCAAGTGCAAGGATGGGAATGTCAGCTCCGGCGTGCGGATCCCCATGGGAATGAAGCAGCCGCATCAGTAAGTGTTGTCTATGGCTTAGTGAACTTCACTGATGTAGGGTTCCGGGTGGTGGCAATAAGTTCAGATAGAGTTAGGTGTTTTGCATGGCTGGCATGTCATTTAGAAAGGCAGAAGTCACGGTGTGCTTTGATAGATCCACAGTGCCTTCCAGGTGTTTCTTTCCAAGTATTTTACTAAGGTGAACATGAATTTCAGTTTGTCTTAGGTTAACAGCTGCTGGTTGTCAGTTTTTTATCAAATCAGAGGAAATCCAGATCTTCCTTGGAGAAGTCTTGAGTTTCCTGAAGGAACGGCAGATCCCCTCTTGGGTTTCATTAAGCATGAGCCATTTGCATCTCTGTCCACTCTTCTCATCCAGAGCATGAATGTGCTGGTACTGCCCAGCTCAGCTGTGGAAGGGCTAAGGGATGAAGATGCACCTGATGGACACTGCTTGCTGAGCAGGGGCTGGGGGTATCAACTACCTTGTATGCTTTATTTTATTGAGGATCATTCAAGATGATGCTTGACTACTCTGCAAGCTGCACAAGGGCTTCTCAGCATGAGAAAGCTGCAAAGCAAGATACCGTGATGGTCTCCTGGAGGCTGAGTGACTCACTCTCGTGCTGTGGAAGCAAGGGACTTAGCCAAGGTGACCTTCAGCCATGGCTGAGCTCATGGTGGTTTGAACAGTTTGTTTCCGGAGAAGGCAGCTGAAGCCCTTTGCGTTGAACCAGAATCAAACCTCCTTCCTCTGTGCACCTCTGAGGAAAGATTTGATGTTTAGTGAGAACAAAGTATGTTCACTTGAAACGGGGCAAACATCTCACTGCCTCAGGTATGGGCCGCATGGTCACCTGCGAGGCCACCACTGGTCTCTGCTTGTATCTGCCAGAGCAGGGACGGCTGGCTCCAGGCTACCTGTGTGTCGGGAGGAGAGCTTTCCTGTTCCAGCACACCTGCATTTGACTCTCTCATGACCACAGTAACTCGTGACAGGAGGCATCCAGCCATCAAGACTTCGGGTACATAAGGCTGTGTGGTGACGCTGGGGACAGATCCAGCTCCTCCTGCGCTCTGCTCTGCTTTGCTACTAGGTTTTGCAAAATTCACATAGACTCACGTTTTCAGATCTGGTCTCAGAAGCAGTGGATGGGCATCTTTCCCTGCTGTTACTGCATCTGCTCTAATTCATGGGTCCCTTCCTGAAATTCCTGGGAACTGGTGATGTTGGGGTGCTCAGTGACTCAAGCAGCAAGGTGGCTGTAGAGTCAGGCTCTTGCACACCAACACCTGGGTATGCTGGGATGCAAGCCCAGGGCTCGCAAGCTGTCCCATGAGCTGTGGGGCCGGCAGAGACTCACTTTTAGGTGGATAGATGTCCTTCATCCTGCCATCCCCACTGTGCCAGCCCCACCTCTACCACATCTAACGTCTCCCCATTCTCCAGGTCTTTCTGGTGTGCTGCACACCCTTCCCCTGGACCTCCCTGCAAATGTCCCATCTCTCCTTCATTCCCTGACTGCCAGATGAAGGAGATGCCTTAGGCTTGCTGCACGTTCCACCTGGTCTGACAGACCCTTTGCAGGCATGTGTAGCTTGACAAGAAATTAGGGTTTGAGTCGTCATGTGTGGGATTTCATTAGAGTTAGCTGATGGCTTTCAGGTTTATCAGAGGACTGAGAAGGCACATAAAAACACAGTCTTCATTTAGGAAACCAACTGGAGCTGATTTGCTCCTCTCATCTGAGCATCGTATATCTTGGATTTAGACCTGGGTGATTCACTGAGGTCTAAGAGTATGCACAGAAAACACTTAACTTCTTTTGAGTTTACAGGAAATGGTCACTTGAGGTATGTATAGTTTCCCAGAAAAAAAAGCCCTGGTGTTTATCTTTAAAGTTATGCTGAAAGTCAAAGAAAAGAAAAAAAGAATTGTAGCAACTAAAGGGGGATTGGTTGACATTGGTTTATTATTTTTATACTGTAAAAATAATAGCTCTGAACTTTGACTCGGGTTTATACTTAAGCTATGAAAAATTCTCATAAATCAAAAACCCTGCATGAGTCAAACAGGAACTGTTCTCAAGCCAGGCTGTTCCTCAGGAGGGTAACTCCTGCCTTTGGTGCTGCTTAAAAACAGCTTTCATCCTGAAAGCCTGCCTTAAAACTTGGCCGTTTCTCCAAGAATCACCGGTATCTATGCTGATGATGCTTGTTGGCCACCTCCTTATCTCAGAAACCGAGCTCATGGTCTGCTTTCTTATTTCAAAGCACTGAAAAAGTTTCCCAGTAGATCTGAGGGTTGTTCTTGGGGGGGCAGGGGGGTGGAATGCTCATTTCTTCAGCCGTGGCTGTTGTCCTCTGCCTTTTGTTGGGGGCTCGGTGTGGCTGGCGGCTGAGGATGCCCCAAACCCTCTGGTGTGCTGCCGTGGAATTGACAGCCGCCCACTTCAGCCTGCTGCCAAGCGCTGGAATCGGGGTAGGATTGGACCCATAACAGAATTTATCCCCCAGAAGCCCTGTATGGTTGCTGAGGTTAAGTCGCTCCTTCTCCCCATGTGCCTACAAAGAGAAGAGGGGAGACTTTCTGTTTGCTCTCCACGTGCTGGTGCCGGTGGGAGTTTGTGGAGGTCGAGGCTGGGCTTCTCAGCATGAGCCTCCACCAGACGCCCACGGCACCCCGGGGAAATGTTTTCTCTGCGATATTTTTACGTTTTCTTGGAATTTATCTTCCTCGCTGCTGTTTGTGTTTGCTTCACCCAGCGCTGCTTTCTCCTTTGCCCCTTTTTCCTGGGGTTGTCAGAGCACCGAGGGGTGATCCCGCAGCTCCCCCGGCTCGGTGGTACCCGTTCTGCCCTGCAGCCCCCCCGAGCAGCCTGCTGCAGCCTGAGCCCATCGCTGCCCTGCTCCTGCCCGCCCTGCTCCCTGTTCTGTCCCTGTGACAGTTCTCCACCACGGATGGGACATGGTGGTCCCGCATGGGCCACCTTCCCCAGGTCTCCAGCGGTCCCCCTGTGGGGAGGTCGGTTCTGTTCTTGGTGCAGTGGGGCTGCACCTGTACAGAGCAGTGAAAGGAGTATTTCCAGTGTCGTACGGGATGCTTTTCATATTCACTTGTTCTACAGTGTCCATTTATTTGTTCAGCAGTTCTCAAAAAGAAAGTATTCCAACCCCTTCATAATCACAAGTGCTGGCTTTTTTGCTTTGTTTTTCTACATTCACGGTAGGAACAGTCTTCCCTGGAGATGATCTATGGCGTATGTTCCTCTCCCATCTGATTTCATTTTTTTCCTTGAACCTTTTTATTGGTCTTCATGCATACCAACTTCTCCACTCTTCAGACTTACCAAGTTGCAAGTGTTTGGGCTGTCTTCTAATGTGTCTGATGAATACTTTGGACAATGAGATGTAATACCTTGCTATCTCAGCTGTCAATACAAATTTCAATTTTTTGAGGACTTAGAGTTGTAATAGTGCCAGTCCTGTGCAGCTTTTGTATATTATGTTCATATTTTGTTGTGATGTTTCTTTCGTTGATTGAAAGAAAAGTCTATTGGTAGCTTTAACAAAAAACGGCAAGAAGTCAAAGCTGTCTTCTTAGGAAGTCATTGAGAATAGATTTGATGGAGTAGATTTGTGGTGAATTGGGGCTAGGTCTTCCCTGAGTGTCCAGAAGTGTGTGGAGTTAAAATTTTAATATAATATTGCAGTTGTGCTGGAGAATCTTGTTATTTTTTTGGAGTGCGGAGAGAGGGGAGTCTGTATTAAACCAAGCCTGAACCCTCACACAGCTCGGGGAGAGATGTTTTGGGGTGGTGGTGGTGGAGTTTTGTGGGGTTTTTCCACGCATTGTGTAAATGAAGATGACTATGCTCAGGCAGAACTTACCTGCTTTCTTATTTTTGGCAGTGCAAAGCCCCCTTGCCATTTACAGCAGAGGGAGGATTTGCTTTTTCTCCCTAGCACTCATTAGCAAGATAGGGTGGAGGAGGCCGGGGAGGTGGAGATAAGGGAGAGCCAGTGGAGGGGCTGCTCCCAGAGACGGTGATGGAAGGTGTCACGCCAAGCCCCCACGGCTTGTTGGTCGGTACCATGCATCCTGCCACCACTGCGGGCACCTCGGTGCTGCCGACCTGCTCTCCAGCTGCACCCTCAGGGCTGTTAGAGGCACCGTCCCCCTTCAGCAGCTCTGCCCCGGGTGGGCAGCAGGTGGAATGTCTCCCCCGCTGGGATTTTGGCCATGTTTCGTCAGGCTCAGCACCTGTCCTCAGCCCTCAGCACCTCTGCTTCATGCTGTGCCACCATCCAGCGTGACCTGGGCAGGCTGGAGAGCCGGGCAGAGAAGAACCTCATGAGGTTCAATAAAGGTGTAGGGTCCTGCACCTGGGGAGGAAGAACCCCAGCCACCAATACAGGTTAGGGGTGGACCTGCTGGAAAACACTTCTGAGGAGAAGGATCTGGGAATCCTGGTGGATAGCAAACTTTCCATGAGCCAGCAATGTGCCCTTGTCACCAAGAGGGCCAATGGAATCCTGGGCTGCAGAGGGAAGAGTGTGGCCAGTAGGTCGAGGGAGGTCATTCTCCCCCTCTGCTCTGCACTGGTGAGGCCACAACTGGAATCCTGCATCCAGTTCTGGGCTCCCCAGTTCAAGAGGGACAGGGAACTACTGGAGAGAGTCCAATGTAGGGCAACCAAGATGATTAAGGGATTGGAGCATCTCCCTTACGAGGAAAGGTTGAGAGAGCTGGGGCTCTTTAGCCTGGAGAAGAGAAGGCTGAGGGGAGACCTTATCTATGTTTACAAGTACCTAAAGGGTGGGTTGAAGGATGATGGAGCCGACTCTTTTCAGTGGTTCCCAGTGACAGGACGAGGGGCAACGGGCACAAGCTGGAACATGGGATGTTCCACTCAAATATGAGGAAAAACTTCTTTACGGTGAGGGTGACAGAGCCCTGGAACAGGCTGCCCAGGGAGGCCGTGGAGTCCCCTTCTCTGGAGATTTTCAAGACCCGCCTGGATGCAGTCCTGTCAGTGTTGGGTTGATCGTTGGACTTGATGATCTCAAAGGTCCTTTCCAGATGATTTTGTGATTCTAATGTGCTCTGGGCAATCCTGCTTTAGCAGGGGAGGGGGCTAGATGATCTCTAGAGGTCCCTTCCAGCTCCAACCATTTCATGATTCCATGCAGCCCTGGCTTTATATCTGTCTGCAGGAGGCCTGGAGACCTGGAGCGCTTCCCACATCTCTCCTGCCTTTTGCCTCCTGGTGCTGACAGTCTCTGTCCTTCTGGCAGAAGGGGACAAGGTTAGCCCTGCGGGGGCTACCATCCCAGTCTGGCCATCCCCGGTGCCTCTGGGAGTACCGGTCCCCTCGTAGCCAGGACAGAGGTTGTGTGTGCATTGCAGGTGTGGGTGTTTTAAGCCATTTTAGGGAATTTAGCACCCTGGGGTGGGCTGCCCTCTGCCTTCCTGCCTCCTCTTTAGCCTCAGCTCCTTCCACAGCAGAACAGTCAAAACTAAAAATTGAATATGGAAATACCGACTAGTCATGGCTGTTCTCGTGCAGTTCAATATAAGGTGGAAAAAAGGTGGTTTATCCCTCTCTGGGCTGCCGTGGAGGAGGAGCTGCGCTGTCTCCCGGCGCTCCAGCTCCCGGGTGGCGAGTGTCAGGAATGCCAGCCATGCGGGGGGATTGCCATCGCCCCTGCGGGGGAACCGAACGTCCCACCAGACTGACGGCTCTAAATTTAAGGGCTTGCTGTCGGGGGCCATGTGTGCCTCAACGTGCCCTTTTGCGACCAAGCTAAAGATAATTTTTCCTATCTCTCTGGAATGGCAGCTGCCCTGCAAGTTGTGTAAGGAGGCGTCTTCTGCGCTGAAGTGAAAAGCCATCACGAGAGCGTGATCTGCCCCGAGAGGATGGGCAGAGCTGGAGACATGTCACCCAGGGTAGGGCTTCTGACCCTCCGCAGGAGCTGAAAAGAGACCATTTATAGAAACTCAAAAGATATTTGGCCTTGCTGTTATTTTTGTGTAAATACCCCTTGAGGGATCAGCAAAACCTTTTTTTTTTTTTAAATTGTAAGAGAGGTCTGCTTAAATCATCTAGAGTTCAATATTCTCCACAAAAACTGAGCCAAAAAATATAAATACACAGATGTACATATATACAAATATGTACATATATACATATGTACAAATATATATGTACAAATGTACAGTGCTATGGAAGGAAACTTCCAGGAAAAAAGCAGAGTGGGCTACACTCCTGTGCGTTGTGGTGAGAGTATTTTTAACCCACCTGCATATTTTAAGCAAGTTGACCTTTGTAGAAGGTCTACTACAGCCTTTTAGAGCTGGCAGAGGTTGCAGTTACGTGTGTATGATTGTGTATGGCACTTTACATTAGGAGACGTGGCGCAGACCCCCAGGTCAGCAGGGATTATCCGGATAGATCATCTAGTGGGTTACTCCCACCGCTCCTCTCCAAGGGCTGGTTCAGGCGTGCGGGGACCAGCTGCTGGGCTGTGTGAGCACGTGTGGTGGCAGGGAAGGTGGGTCACTAAGCGGCACGTTTCACTGGCAGCCTCCTGGACACGAGTGGATAATACTTCATGATCCCCTTGCGGCTTTGAAACATGGGAAGGAGGGCCACCCACTGCAGCCTGGTGGAGGTTTTGAGGGCTTGGAGGTTCTCAGTGGTGTTACAAATCTGTTTTCCCACCTTGTGATGACACTATCTGGAGTGCCACGTTGCAGGGAGGCGTTACTGGGGGCTTGTAAGGGCATGAGAGACTTCGTGATTTGTGGTTTATGGTCCTTCAAGGGAATAAATGCCTAGGGACACCTCATTAACGTCCAGCGTTGCTTGGAGAAAGACATCTCTAGCTGGGGGTCCTGTAGGAGGTGCTTCCCCAGCGCTGCCCTGTGAGGCCCTGAGGGAGCGATGTGCCACTGAAGGTGTGCCCCTCTCCTCACCACGGGCCGTGCCGTGCATGTGGGGTATGGACAGGGCTGGGGGGGAGGCACCGAGCAATCTGGCCATGCTTTGAAGTCAGACATGCCTTGAAGCATGAACCTTCTGTGGCTCGGTGGTGCCCAGTGCTCCCTGACCAGCCGGGTGCAGCCTCACCTCTCACGTATGCAGACTTAACGCCACCCGTTTCCATTTCAGGTCCTGTTTCGGCATAAAAGTGAGGTTGACGAGACTCCTCTAAGATGTCTTACCGAAAGGAGCTAGAGAAATACCGAGACCTGGATGAAGACAAGATCCTTGGGGCTCTGACAGAGGAGGAGCTCAGGAAGTTAGAGAATGAACTGGAGGAGCTGGACCCTGATGTAAGTCGTGTTCACACGAGGTTTGCCAGGTGGTAAATCTCAGTAGTCAAGGAGGGGGGGGAACGGGCTGCGTTGGTAATCTGTATTTAAGTGGGACCCTTTGCAGAGCCTGTGCTCAGTGCAAGGGTGGAAGAGGCTGTCCACAGGAACAGTTTTGCCATCACGAGCATGGGCTACAAGTGGGACTTTGTTTCTGTGATACTCCCCTGTCCTTGCCCTGGGGAGCGTGGCAAGCACTGTGGTTTGCAGAACCAGTGTCAGCCAGTGCTGGTACAGGGCAGTGAACCTGCAGAAACTGGTTCTCTGCTTCCCATCAAGCCACCTTGGAGGGAAATTTTGAAGGTTTTGTGGCTTGTTTGGGTGGGGCTTTTTTTCAATAGAGACTTCAAATGGTCTCAATTTCCCTCCATATAGGCAGAAAACCAAATCCTGGAGTTTCTCAAAATGGGACAATTGCTTTTTAGCAGCCTCCCAACATCAGTCAGAGCTGCTCACACACAAACACTGGTCCTGCTGGTGCCAAGCAATGAAAGCTTTCTGGAGGCAACGTTGTCCTGTGGCCCCAGCAGGGGCTGTGCAGAGCCAACTGGCAGGCCCCTGGGCTCCAGACACCTTAGATGATGAGGCTGGGCACTGCCAAGTGAGAAATTGTTCCTGCAACATGCAGTTGGTGTTTCTGGTGGGGAAATGATGGGCAGTGCAGATTGCATCATCAGTATTTTTAATTGCAGCACAGGAAAATAATTAAGAGGTGGCAGGCTCGCTCCTGGGTTTAAGCATATGGGCTGCTTACAGCTGCCTCAGAAGACACAGTGTTGGGCAGCATTCTGTGAAAGATGCAGAAAAGTGCAATAATCGTGAACATCTGTGAGTACAGGTGTAGCCAGCATCCAGGAGGTAAAGCATGAAGGCTGCCTGGTCGCTCTCACAGCATGAAGCCTGAGGAAGCAAGCTGCTTCCTCTTCCTCCCTGCTTGTGTCTTAGCACAGGTTCCCCAGAGTTCCCCTACAAGTTTGCCCAAGTCTAATTGTTTCCTATTAGTCATTTTCCTTCCTAGGCTTTCCACTGATGCAGATTTAAATTATAATTAATTACTTTTATTAGGCAGGCTTGGAAAAATCAGCGTGTTGTTCAAAATCACCTTGGATGTCTTAAAAAGTAAATGTTGACTTCTATCCAGCAAAGCTTTAAAGAACATGCTTAGCGTCAAATCTGGGAATAGTCTTACTTACTGCATTAAGGCTGTTCTATATTTAAATATAAGCAGGTGCTTACGTGCCATATGTGTCAGGCACAAAGCAACTTCCCATGGTGGCTAATGTGGCTGAATAACACGGAGGCAGTTTGAAAAAGGGCTGAGGTCCGCAGGGGTTTTGTTCTGCAACAGAGTGACCTTCTCTGCGAGGCCTTGCCTGCAGTTTTGTGATGGATCATGAAGGGCAGAAGAGACCACCACATCTCTCTGGTCTGCTCTGGGAAGGACCATGGGATTTCCCTGAGCTGATTCTTGCTGGGACACGTGGGGCATGTGGGCACTTGGACAGACACGTACAGGGAGGAGAAGACCAGCTGAGTTTAGCAGCCTGGTTCTGGTGCTGCGACTATTGCAAAGAGGCAGCAGAATTGGTGGGGGTGTGGGAATGGGCTAGGAGGAGCAGGAGGGGATGGCTGAGAGCCCCCAGAGAAAGGACTGGAGTTGCTGTTGTAGAGAAACATCCACTTGGCAGCATGGAGATCTTGTAGTGGAGACAGCGTTTGAAATAGGAGGGGGGAAGGAGCATTATGTGTCTTAGATGATGTGGGAATCGGTGGGCTTGGATGGCGATAACCTTGGACACAAGGAGAAGTAAATGGCCCAGCAATGTGGAAGAAAGATAGTGCATTGAGGAAAGTGGAGAGCGTTTGATGGACGGGGATCGTGGCCTGCAGAGATAACCCGTGTTTGTCCCCTCCATGCCTAGAACGCGTTGCTGCCAGCAGGGCTCAGGCAGCGGGATCAGACGCAAAAGCCACCAACCGGCCCGTTCAAAAGGGAGGAACTCATGGCCCACCTAGAAAAGCAGGCAAAGGACGTTAAGGACAGAGAAGACTTGGTTCCTTTCACGGGTGAAAAGAGAGGTATGGTCATCCTTTGTGCCACACTGGCTGCATCACGACGAAGGCACAGCGGTTGCACAGCAGAAGGGTTATGTCTGAGCTGTGTTGTTCAGCATGACTTCATTGTGACACCATTGTGGTGGTGGATCTGCTCTCCCTGCTGTCTAGCCCCAGTCCAGGCTGGCCAATGAACTGGGGTGTGCCCAAGAGGTCCATGTGCTTGCTGATTTGGGTACCGCCAGATATGTTGTGAAGTGATGGACAGAGGCTGTACCACTCTGCAGCCTCTTTCCATCCTCATCCCATTGCAGCTGTGTCAAGCTCTGGGGAAGACATCACCTTGTCCTTTCTTGTCCTCCCGTGAGCTCGGCATGCTGCGCTCTGTCTTTCACCATCACCTTTCATGCTTCATCCCTACACTCTGAGCTTCATCTTGGTACAGAGAAACTCCACAGCTCCCCTTAGCTGTGGTGATCCCAACAGTCCCCATCTAGTCTTCATCAGCTCTTGACAGCCCCAGACTCATTTCCCAGCCTCTGGCATCTTGCGTGTTTCTTCTGCATGTTTTTTCCTGCACCGTACCTGGAGGTAGCTGCTGCACCCCTGCTCTTTGTGTGGCCCTGGGGACTGTGAGCAAGGGGTTTACTCTGCCTCTTTTCTTTTGCCTCCTTCTGGCATCTTTTCCTGTTCTCCTGGGACATGTCCTGTTATCCAGACTTCACTGCTCCCATTAGCACTCTGAATATCATCTGGCACGGGATGTGGGCCCGTCAATCCTTGCCTCTGGGTTCCAGCAATTTCTCAGCAGCTTTTTTCTGCTGTTGTGTCCTCCGTACCATGGTCCCCCTGCAGCAGAAGATCTGGGTGAACACTGTCTGCACTGTTGCTTGCCCCACGTCAAACAAGCAGTGCATGAGGATGGGGGCGTGTGAGCATGTTTCCCGATTGAGGTGCTCCTCAAACTGCCATCTGCCCCCTTACTGATCAACGAGCCTCTCTGAGAAAGAGCTTACGTTAAGTCTGCCCATTTAATAAGACTTCAGGTGGTAACTTTTAGGGAGAAAGAAGAAAAAAAAAAAATCAACTTCAGACGTACCCTAGCCCAGAAGGTAGTAGCAGTGCTCTGCAGGAAATGGAGGTATTTCAGGCATTTTGAGTGTTTGGTTTCTGGTCTGAGCTAGCCATATTTCAGTCTGATGAGATCCCAGACACATTAAACATCTTTTTGCTTGTAACACACTGCTGAGTGAAGACACTACTTACACTGACTGTGAGCCAGAGACAGCAAATTATATATTCACAGTTGTGGCAGAGCTGGAAATAAATCACCCCGTTTACAGTCTGGAGGGTGATTTGCCAGTTTGCCGTGGGAGCTGCTCTCCCTGGCCATGCTGCTGGGCAGGGTAGGAGCTGCTGTGTGCGTACCTGCTGTGTACATTATCATGTGTAATGCTGTTTGCATGCACCATTTAATTTCAAGTTCCAAGTTGTAATGCAGGGCGGCTGAGGCAGGAAGCTTCCTAAAACCACCAACCCAGAAGTTTCAATGACACTGAGATGTCAAAGGGAGCTGTCGTGTGACGGCAGAATTAAGTTTGCCCTGTTTTTCCTATTCCCTGCTGAACTGACCAGATGGCGTGCACGGTTTGCCGTGCGCCTGGTGGGACAACGGTTCTGGGTCTCTGCACCAAGCCAGCGCTGAAGGGACCAGCCCAAGGGGGACATGTAGCTGCGCAGTACCCGGAGGGTGCCTGGCCCTGCAGGCACACGTGATGCTCTGACTATTTTTGCCAGAGCAGCTGTGTCCCAGGAGGCAGATTCCTGCCCTCTTTGCCGGGGCGGCCGGAGATGGGCCCTTCTGCAAAAGGCTGTTTATAGCAGACACCGCTTCTCACCGGGGGGGAGCCCCAAGCACAGTTGCTTCTTCCCTGAGGCTAAATTTAGCCGCTTCTGTTTTCTGCACATCCCTGAGCAGCAGGATCTTTGTTTCTCCCCTTTGGTGCCGCTGACTCTGGTTTCAGAGAAGGGAGAGGACAAAAATAGTCCTGGCTCTCATGCTAGGCTGAGAGCTTTGCGCTCGCTGTCTCTCTGCAGTGACCCTGGGCTATTTCAGGGGAGGGGACTGATCCCAAATCCTCTGAGATCCCTCCTCCCGCCCGGCAGCAGCGCTGGATTTACCCACCAGGCTGCTCCCTGCCAAACACCATCATCTGTTAAAACACCACAAGCCTCTCTCTTTTCTTAGGTGCCCTGCTGCAAAATCTCAGACCTGACCCCTTCATCCTTCACAGAGAGACCCACCTGCCCCTTGGCGCTCCGAGCGGTTCAGAGCTGGGGGCAGCCACCCGGGGCCATGAACCCTGTCCCCTGCCTGGGACCCCCCACACCTCCCTGGGGCACAACCAGCTCCAGCAGACACAGGGAGGTGGCTCGCCCGGAGATCATCCTGGGCATTGGGATGGGGGAGTGATGGGGAGCCCCACGGCATTCATGGAATCATAGAATTTTCTAGGTTGGAAAGGACCTTTCAGATCATTGAGTCCAACCATCAACATAACACTGACAAAACCACCACTGGACCATGTCACTAAACAGCACTTCTACCTGTCTTTTGAACACCTCCAGGGATGGTGCCTCAACCACTTCCCAGGGCAGCCTGTTCCAATGCTTGGTAACCCTTTCGGTGTAGAAATTTTTCCTAATATCCAATCTAAAACTTCCCTGACACAACTTGAGGCCATTTCTTCGCATCATGTTCAGAGCTGGGCTGGAGCTGCATCACTCGCTGTGCAGCCCCCTCCCCATGTGGGCAGCCCCCCACTTTGGAAAAGGCCACGAGCGAGCACCTGATATGGCAGCTTTGCTTCACCGGCTGTACCTGTCACTTTGCACCTCTGAGTTGTAGGGATAAAGCCTGTTCCTTGGCCTGTTGCTGCTCCCGGGAGAGGGAGCACGGAGGTGTCCCATCTGGCATGCCCTTTGTGCCTCTCCCCCCTGCCCTGCTGTCCTCTGCAGCGATGCTGAGCCGGACCAGCTGCCCCAAGCCTGCTCCTCCCTGCATCCCGTCTGCTCTGTGGATGGCTGACCGCTACCCCTGCCTGCTGCCAGGCCCCCTCCACCACCTCCTTCCCACCCCCTTTTGACTCCTGTGCCATCTGCCCTGCCACCGTGCATTTGGAGCTGTCTCGGGAGCGGGACCCGTCTTGCACAGTGCTGGAGCCCAGTCACTCTTGGTCCACGTGAGCGCTGGCAAATCTCCATTCCTTCTATGCAGCCTTCAGAGAAGTGAAGTCTCCTGCAGGGCCAGGCTGTGCGTGGCTTTTTGAGGGCTGTGAGCTGAGCAGTCATCGTCCTGTACAAACATACTACTGGGCTTTTGCGGATGCGGCCCTTCACGCTGGGGAAGGAGTCCAGCTCCATAGTTGGAGGTGTCTGGCAGGTGCCTCCTGGCTCCCCTCACAGCAGGGCTCAGACCCCAAGCTGATGGGAAAGGGTGGAGTGTCTCCTCTGGTTTTCCTCTAGGTCCTTGTGCCCCCTCTGTCCTTCCCACTGTGCAGATCTCACCCCACAGAAACGCATCTGCAGGGCTCTCTGTGAAGCAGGTGCTACAGCCATGCTGAGAGTGACCTCACTTTGCATTTACAGGAAAAGTTTGGATTCCCAAGCAGAAGCCCATGGATCCTGTTTTGGAAAGTGTGACTCTGGAGCCGGAACTGGAGGAAGCCCTGGCTAATGCCTCCGATGCAGAGCTCTGTGACATTGCTGGTAAAACAGTTTCATGTGAATTTGGGGGTTCAGGTTGCTTGACTACTAGTTTCTTGTTGTTTGTTCTTTTGTGGGAAATAAGCTGTTGAGCTTTTTGATGTTTATCTGAGTGCTGACAGTTGTGACAGGATTTATTTCTTTGTTAAAAAAGAAGTGTATATTTAGAGTTACTCTCAGCCCATGTGATTTAATCAGGAGCATGGACCAAAGCTGAGGAGGGAGAAGAAGGATTTGTTGAGAGAACAGAGTGTGCTGTTTGATCTCTTCTCCTGTCTCTGCCACTGAATCTTGCAAATTGCAGCCCGTCACCTTCAGCAGCACGGCTTTCTTCAAGCCAAACCTCTATCTAGGAAGCAACCCAGCAGACCCAGTGAGAATGTGGATTTCTGGTGCCAACCTATTAAAGGAGCTGTTAGGTTAGACAGTCTTTCAGTGGACACTCAGGGCTGCTGTTTGTTAAAGAGCTTTTCCCAAAACACTTTAAAGCTAAGGATTTCTTGCAATTTGTGCAGTTGGTCATATGCCAAAAGATCTTACGAACACCCCCTTGATGCTTTGAGCTCATGTGTCCCCTGCGGGTCCAGCAGCCAATGAGTATTTCAGTGCTACTGGCTTCTTCTTCCAGACCTGTCTCCTTCAGACTTCCATGCTCCCTAGCAGTATCCTCCTTGCCAGAAGTCTGTAAGAGAGCCTGTAAAGTATCACACCACCTAGATGTCCTCTACATAATAATAGCATATTCTGGCTTAGAAATGTGTTTCTGCGTGAAGGCTTCCAACATATGTACCCTGGCCAAGCACTGCATCTCTGGATTTTGCTTTTTTACTGCACTTCTAGAGTCCTATAAAGCCCTATGCTATAAAATCTGCTTTTCTAAGCTCCAGATCTGCGCAGCGATTACTTTCACAGAAAAATACTGTTGGGGGCAGGTCATTCTGCAATTGTTGGGAGAATACACTTGAAGTGGCAGCAGGAGAACTGATGTGATACAAGCTGTGCTGAAATCTCAATATTGACAGCGACAGCGTTGCTTTTCTGAGTTAGCTAAGGCTGTGAAACAGCTCCTGCCCACTTAGCAGGGCTCGTTGTCAGTCGTGATGTATTGGGTCCCTTCCTTGGCATGGCAAGTAGGATAGCTCTTGTGGGTGACTCCCAGCAAGTCCTGGAAGAGCTCCCATGCTTCTGTCTGTGCTCTGGGTATTCACAGTCCTGGCTGGTGGAGAGATTTTGTTGCCAGAGTAAGCTGTGTTTGGGGGGTGTGTGTGTCCCCGAAACACTGAACCTGCAAATCACTTTTTCCGAGCTGTGATGCACTCTTCAAAATTTCAGCTGTGAGTAGAGGGCAGGGGAAAGGACCAGCTGAAACACAAATGAGCAAACTCGAAGTGCCCAGCCTTTCAGACCTTTGAGCCCTGTTGTGTATTTATGGCAGCCCGGGGGCTTGGTCCCCCCTTTGTATGTTGTTCTGTGCTTGCACAGAAGAAGGTGGCGCGCTCCCGATCCTGGGAGAGCACAGCATGTGTGCATCTTTTTCTGGCTTTGGAGCTTGCAATAACTCAAGTCGTGTTCTCCTTTTCCTTTTCTGCAGCCATCCTTGGCATGCACACCTTGATGAGCAACCAGCAGTACTACGAGGCTCTGGGGAGCAGCACCATTGTCAACAAAGAAGGGCTCAACAGTAAGTGATTTGGAGTGCTCACAGGCTGAAGTGTTTGGCTTTGGAGCTGCTAGCAGAGGCCAATCATAGCATCATAGAATGGTTAGAGTTGGCAGGGACCTTAAAGATTATCTAGTTCCAACCCCCCTGCCCTGGGCAGGGACACCTCCCACTAGGGCAGGTTGCTCAAAGCCCCATCCAGCCTGGCCTTGAACACCTCCAGGGATGGGGCATCCACAGCTTCCCTGGGCAACCTGTTCCAGTGCCTCACCACCCTCACAGTAAAGAATTTCTTTCTAGTATCTAATCTAAATCTCCCCTCTTCCAATTAAAAACTGCTACCCCTTGTCCTGTCACTACACTTCCTGACAAAGAGTCCCTCTCAGCTCTCCTGTGGGCTCCCTTCAGATATTGGTAGGCTGCTGTGAGGTCTCCCCGGAGCCTTCTCTTCTCCAGGCTGAACAACCCCAGCTCTTTCAGTTTTTCTTCATAAGGGAGGTGCTCCAGCCCTCTGATCATCTTCGTGGCCCTCCGCTGGGCTCTGAAGTGGGAATTATTTTTAGGCTGAAGGTTGGAGCCGTGAATGTCCGAGCAGCCTGTGATTGCTGGGGCTGTCTGTGGTCCATCCTTGCCCTGTGCAAGCCAGCGTGGTCTCAGCTGCTGCCCTGGTGCTGTCCTAGTGCAGGCAGTGTGCTCTCCATCACCCTGTTTTGGACCCTGAGAGCACATAGCAGAAGCCACCAGCTGTCCCACGCTGGTTGGCCCCAGCAGCGGGCAGCGTTTCTGGGTGCATGAGCACAGATGGGGCTGACGAGCACGTGTGCGGTCTCACGTCTTGTGTCTGTTGTCAGCTCATGCTTCCCTCTCCCAGCTCTGCTTCTGGAAGGGGAGAAACACACCCGGAGGGAACATGCCTCTGCTCAGGGTGCTTTAGGTTTCACCTGTCTTGCTCTTCGCTTGCAGGTGTGATCAAGCCCACACAGTACAAACCTGTTCCAGATGAGGAACCGAACTCAACGGATGTGGAAGAAACTCTGAAACGAATACAAAGCAATGATCCTGACCTTGAGGAAGTCAACCTTAACAATATTATGGTATTTGCTCTTTTCTACTCTCCTCTCTTCATTGACACAACCAACCATTTCATACCCAGAAGGCAGAGACCAAGTCTGTTTTGCTGCACAGAGCACTACCATAACACTGTGTGTAGCCAGACAAGAAACACCAGTGCTTCTATCTCCATTTTGGGCAGTGGGCACCTGCTGTGGGACAAAGCTGTGGGATTGGTAGTGGATAGACTCCTGTAGGTGCCTGGAAGAGCAGAGCTGTGCTGAGGATAGTCTGGGAGACCCATCCATCTCCAGCCTGCCTGGTTAAAGGCATTCTAGACGGCTTCAGTGGTTTAATTAGACACATTAGCTGTTTATGTAAGTTAAAATGGTGGGAGAAAAAAGGCTTAATAATCCTGACACTTGCTGTGAAAATACGAAGAAACCTTCCTTCTTGTAGCTAGCCCTGTCCATCTTCCACCCATCCTTTCTGTGGGTCTTCTTCACTTCTTATAGAAAGCAAATCAGGACACAGCACCACTTCTTGTGTTGCCTCTGGGACACGTACATACTAAAAAATACAGTTTCCATCTGTCCTCACTGACCAGGACCCAGGGACCAGCACCTCCAGGACCCTCAGCCCATGGGGTCTGTTAATAATGACATATTCAAATAGCAAGAATGTGGTTACCTGCACATGCACATTAAAAACACTTGTGCCCTGCCACCTGCACCTTTCTATAACTAATGGATTTTTACTTTCATGTATTTGGTTCTGGCTAGTGACCCTGAACGTCCCTTGAGGACACCAAGCTGAGGATTCTGGCAGGCAGGCACTTTTTTTGTGTCTCATAACATTGAGCCACGGTTTGGAGAGCTGGGGAGTGGCGGTGGACATGGTAAGCTGCTGGGCTCTGTGTTGTGGCTCTGCAGATGGCCTTGACTGTAGATGATTCCACATGGTGGGATCCAAACGGAGAGGCAAGAAGTCCAAACTGAAGATACCACTTAAAATTTAGACTGGTGAAAATTTGTGCATCTGAAAAGGGTATCTAAAGTGCTTTATAAGTGAAAAATACTCATTTTGTAGGAACTCTGAGTAAGCAGCATGGATATATTTTCTGGACTGAGACCTAGCATGGCAAATATAAGCCTGAAAGATGCTGTGTAAAGCAGTCAGAGGTGTCTGTAGCTTGCACTACAAGGAGATAATTTCAGGCTTTTCTGGATCAGGCCCAGTAGGTGGAGATTTTCCTGAACATGACATGAATGTTGCTCGGTGCTGTCACTTGTATTAAAATGCGCAGGAGCAGCGCTTTGTAGGCTCACGGATCCCAGTTACATACATCCCCACAACGCCTGCGGTTATGAGTAGCTGAGTTTCTGGGTGATTAAATTAAACAGCAGAGACATCGCAGCTCCAAACCAAGGCAGTGAGCTATCAGCAGAGTGGGAAATAGGAAGAAGAGATTGCCATGCTCCTTGGGCCACGCTGATTATAACAAGAGAACTTGCAAAAACATTTATTGACCCCTTCCTGAATTGCTTCGGTGCATTTGGTGATTTGACCTTGACAGGAAATTTTAAGTATTGTTTAAATACATTGCATATTCCTTCATACAGATGATGGCCTAGCACAGGCATTCTGCATTTCTTTCCACAGAATATTCCCATACCAACTTTAAAAGCTTTTGCAGAAGCGCTGAAAAATAACACCTACGTGAAGAAGTTCAGTATAGTTGGGACACGGAGCAACGATCCTGTTGCTTTCGTAAGTACTGTCAGTTCATCATCATGAAGTTGTGACAGGAGCTGCTCTCGGGCAAGGTATTTTCAGAGTTACTGACTGACTGCTTTTGCACCTCACGGTGCGTTTGGTATGTTCTGCACCTCTGGTGTTTGGTGCAGGGGCTTCGTTTTCAGCAGTGCTAGTGAAAGCCAGCAAGACAGGCTTCAGTTCCTTTGCTTCCTTTTTCAGCTGTGGAGATTTCAGGACACAATCATAGAATCATATAAGGGTCTGGGTTGGAAGGGACCTTAAAGATCATCGAGTTCCAACCCCCCTGCCCTGGGCAGGGACACCTCCCACTAGAGCAGGTTGCTCAAAGCCCCATCCAGCCTGGCCTTGAACACCTCCAGGGATGGGGCATCCACAGCTTCTCTGGGCAACCTGTTCCAGTGTCTCACCACCCTCACAGTAAAGAATTTCTTCCTAATATCTAATCTAAATCTACCCTCTTTCAGTTTGAAGCCAGTGCCCCTCATCCTATCACTACATACCCTTGTAAAAAGTTCCTCTTGAGCTTTCTTGTAGGCACCCTTTAGGTACTGGAAGGCTGCTATAAGCTCCCTGGAGCCCACTCTTCTCCAGGCTGGACAACCCCAATATCAACAATCCTTGAATTGATACAAACAATCCTTTAATTCCATTTGGTCTCATATTCACCCTCAAGGATCTCCCGGAGAAGGAGCAGGATACATGAGCTGACTTCTGAGTGGCATTTTGTAAAAGCAGTTTGTGTCTCTTGATTTACCCTGCATCAGGGCCACCCCATCTGTGTCTGTGGATGTGCTGCTGTGTGCACACCCATCCCTCCCCTCGCACACATCTGCTCCAGCTCTCCTTCGTGTATTCCTTTGTGCAGACCTGTGCAGAAGCAGGGCTCTGCATTTCTTCTGTGCGCGGCCTCTCTGGGTGACAAAGGGACTTTCTGGCTGCTGTGAGCGGTCTTAAGTATTTATCAGTGGGGATGCAGAGGGGCTGAGCATTCTGCTTGGCCCTCGTGCTGCCTTCCAGGCTGCATCCTTGCACACTCCTCCAGCACCACTGCAGCCAATTTTATGCTTTTTTTTCACCCAGGCCATGCACATGTGTGCATGCTGGTTTCCTGTTAGAAAAGAACCTTCTTCTTGGAGGGTGAGTACAACCCACACGCTGGACTGGGGAAGCAGCCTGTGCAGGCAGCACTGGTGCTGTTTGAGGGCCAGTAGGGCACTGTGCAGAGGTAAGGGAGCTGTGGAGCCGTGCCACTTGGGCATCACCTTCTGGCCTTTCTGTTTCATCATGTAGATGGGTCCTTCCATGCAGCGTAGGAAATAAGATCATCAGATCAGGTTGAGAAGGTTGGGAGTGTGTCAGCCCACTTCTGGTCTTACCTTCTGAGGGAAGCAAAAGTGTTTAATCTGGCTGTGATGCCACTCGGGAAGATGTCTTGGACATGGAGAGTGCCTTGTGGTTCAAGACAGATGCTCCTGTCTCTGCCTGCGGTGATGGGAAGCATCTCAGCCCTGCGCAGAAGGAGCAGTGCAGGCAGGGAGCCGATCAGGCAGGAGGCAGGGCAGACACTGGCCAGCATCCCTGGCATCACCATGCTGGCTTTAGCAGAGGGACAGATGAAGCTGTCATGGGGCAGGCGTGGACTATCACCTTCTGGGGTGGCCCCAAGGGTTTGTCCATACGAGGTTTTGCTGTGGCCTCCAGCATGCTCAGGTTCAGGAATTCCCCTGCAACAGGGGAGGGACCTCCTTCACCCCCCACAGGGCTCTCCCATATGGTGGCAGGGAAACTGCTCGTCACACAGGGTCCTCCCAGTGTCCTCTGGAGGCAAGGGGACCTGAACCCCTGCTGCGCCGGGGTGCTCTGCCCCTGCCTGTCTCACCACCCACCTCTGCCCGCAGGCACTGGCAGAAATGCTGAAGGTCAACAGCACACTGAAGAGCCTGAACGTGGAATCAAACTTCATTTCTGGGTCAGGGATCCTGGCTCTCGTGGAAGCGCTCCAGGGCAACACATCGCTCGTAGAGCTGCGCATCGACAACCAGGTAAAGCACGTGGGACCAGGAGCTCTGACCAGCTGAATGTGTCCTGGTTGTGGGAAGCTGAGTGGCAGGTCAAGGTGGAGGGTGGGCAGCCCTCCTTTCAGCCCTTCGTTTCTGCTGCAGTTCCTGGACAGTATCTGCTGCTTCCTACAGCAATTAACAAAGGCTGGGGACCATGAGCAGCTTTCCGTGTTCCTGGTGCTGCCAGGTGATGCACCTGGCCAATATCACACCTTGCTCCAATCTCTTGTGGGCGCTTAAATAATACTGTCTATTTAGTAAAACTGAATTTTTTGCTACAGCGCAAGGGAGAGAGAAGGAGAGCTCCACGGTGCACAGTGGTACAGATGCCATGGCAAGTTTAGCTCCCCAGAAACCCAGGGGGTAGTAGCAAAGCAGCTGAGATACGGGGAGCTCAGGAACAAGTGACTGGGAGTTCAAAGTCATCATTTCTCCAGATGTCTCTTAGCTGCAAATCTGCCCAAGATGTAAAGTTTTTGGGCAAGAGTACTTGTGGGAATGTCTGCTGGGGGAGTCAGAGCCGCTCAGTTGTGCCAGGAACAGGCCAGAGGCTTGTTTCACCAGCTCCAAGTAAGAGATGCCAAATGGGCCAATGGGTCCAAAGAAGGAAGGAAGGGGAGGAGATGTCAGATCTTAAGTGCTCGCTCTGAATCACCCTCTGACCTGACCTGCTTGCTTTTCTGTCTGTTTTCAAAAGAGCCAGCCCTTGGGCAACAAAGTAGAAATGGAAATCGCAAACATGTTGGAAAAAAACACCTCCCTGCTGAAGTTTGGGTACCATTTCACTCAGCAAGGTCCCCGGCTCCGCGCCTCCAACGCCATGATGAATAACAACGACCTGGGTGAGTGGGGCTGGCTGCGGGCCAGCCAGCATGGGAAGGTCCTGTGGGCAATTCCTGGTGGGAGAAGGGCAGAGCTGCTCACTTGAAGGCTCTGGTGGATGGGTTTGAATTAGAAACCACCTCTCGAAGGGCCTGATGGTGCCTTGCCCCTCAAGGAGGAAAGCAAGCCTTCACTGACTGGTTCTCTAAGGCAGCTGCTGGTGGTCCAGGCAATGGGTTGTGCTCCAAACCTGGAGGCCCTGGGCAGCTAGAAGTCCCAGAAGAGGCAGCATTTTTGGCAGTAACAGTGGGTCTTGTTGGGAAGGAGAGAGACCTGCTGAACGTGTCCCGGTGTGGCATGTGATACAGCGTTATGAGCTGCCAGCACTTGTGAGTCCTGCCAGCTGCTTGTCTTCCTCCTGCTTCATTCCCGCTGTAACGAGGAGATGAAAAGCAGCAGAGTTGAACTTTGATGGCAGTGGGACTTGGCCCGTTCCCTCCAGAGAAACCAACGGGAAGCGTTTCTAGGGAGAGGTGGGAAGCCACATGGCTTTGAGTTATCTTTGTACCCTCAATGAAGCAAAATGTGGGCAAGCCTGCGAGCTGCTGTTTCAGCCCATGCATGTGGCAGAGGCTTCCCATGGCTTGGCTACAAGTGGCTGTAGAGCCCTGGAAACGGGTCCAGCAGAGCAGTATTGAATGGAGCCAACGTACCAGCCATGGCTTGACTCAAGGGCTCCTGAGTGCATGGGCAGGGTGGTTGCAAAGAGGACAGGGCCAAACTCCTTCTCAGCAGATGATAAATCCAAGAGGAGTAAGGAAAAGTTTGCAGATTGTCCTTTTTTTTGTTTTGTTTTGTTTTTACATTAGGAAGAACCCCTTCCCCAGGAGGGTGGGGGTTTGACAAGACCTGGAGGGACAGAGCCAGCGGCTGGGCTGACCCGGTGCTAGGCAGAGCCCTGCTTGGAGAGGGAAGTGGGGCTGGAGGCTCCCGGGGACACCCCCTCCACCACCAGAACGGCTGGGTTCTGCCAGACACATCTGGGGAGCAGGGGCTAACAGGCAGGGGCCGAGAAAACACCCAACGAATAAATGCCAGCTCTCAAGAAACAGGGGAAAGCTGGAACTGCGTATTTCAATCTGCCTGAGGTTCAGCGCAGACAGGCTCTTCTGCCCCTTGATGAATCAGGTTTAAAAGCCACAGAAAAACAGCTTTAAGTAGCTGCCATATTTAAAGAGATGATAAATATTGTGTTTTTTAGAAAAAAAAAATTTTTTTTTTAAATATCAATCTTGCTTCAGCCAGAACGGTGCTCCCGGGAAGCACAGCCAAGCATAGAGGTGTGTGCCAGTTCTTCAGTGACCACAAAGAATACACAGCATTACCCTCCACTGCGTATTTATTCTGCCTGCGGCAGCATTCCCGGTCACTGGAGAGCTGCACCAGGAAAGGATCACTATTTTCTGTCCTTTGGAACAGAGCAAGGGTTGTAATGACCGTGCAGCACCTGGCATACAAAGTAATCAGCTGGAAGATGTGGATATAGTTGTAAATATTCCTGCTGTAAGGGGAGGAACTCACAACTTGATTTCTGTGCAACAGTTGTGCATTTTTGCCTCTTTTACCAATAAGATCTGCATTTTTGTCTGATTTGGTTCTTGTTTGCAGCTCGTATTCACCGGTGTGATGGTGTCTGGCAATAACATCTCAGCTCCACACCTGGACAATGTATAAGTATAGAAAACTTCATTTTCCTCCCTGTCAGCAATAGCTCTCTGCTTCTGCTCCACTCCAGTGCTCTTGCCTGCCATCACCCGATGCTACCAGAACTTGGTTTTGGTTCTACAGCTTCTGTTCTCTAAGATGCTCTGAATGAACCAACTGTGAAGACTTTTACAGTCATCCTCATGAGCTAACTTCCGCATTCTCTTAATAACTTTTTTTTTTTCCTTTTTTCCTCACACACATTTCTTGAAAAGTCCTAAGTGTAGCTGTCAGAGCTGTAAATCAAGTTTAAGAGTAAGTATGAGACTGCTTTGACCATGTTAGCCATAAGAGGGCTGGAGGCTAAAGGCTTAAGATAAGATATGAGAGAGATTATTATTTTTTTTTTTTTTGAAATGGCAGTTTAGAAAAACTAGCAAAGGAAAAATTGTGGCATCTGTCTCCTGCTGTCTTTACATCAGTCATCACGAGGGGATGCTTTGGCCAAAGCCAGATTACAGAGGCAAAAGGTGTGAAATATAATTGACGGTAGAATAAGGGAGGTAAGGCTGAAAGCAAGCTTCTGGCCTTAAAAATTCGTAAGGACAGAAACCTCATCTTACCTTCCTTGATTTTAAACTGTGTCATTCCTGCTACTATCCTGTTCCTTTCCTGGCAGAAAGCGCGTCTCTCAGCTCCTCTCTCAGCCAAGCCTGCCATCCACGTCTTCCCCTTGCCATCATTGACTCCTCTCCCTCTTCTTTTCCAGTGAGGAAGAGGAGACTCGCAGAGTTGAACGGGCCTATTTTTCCCAAGTGCAGAACTGGAGTGTAGTTCCTGGCTGTGGAGGTCATTCCCGGTGATCTGCGCTGCACTGTGGAAATCTAAAGGCAACAAGTGCCTTGACAGAGTATTTGTGGTGCCTCGGTTCTGTTTTATGCACTAAGAGTTTAAATTAACTAGTGGCTGTAGTTGAGGGTTTTATCCAGTAGGACTGTTGACGTTTTCTGTAGAGTTGGAAATTATTCAAGCCAATTTTATGCAACCTCAGTTTAGAGTACATCCCAGTGTAAAAGTGACTTTTAATTAACCTGGGACCTGATTTTTCTATAAACTTCCTGCACGGTGTTTCATACAGTTAGGATGTGGTATGCATGAGTGAAAAATACAGCTGTTTAACACAAATTATAGAAGTATTAAAAAAATACTTTATTTTTTATTTCCAAATTGATCTCAAGTAACTATAGAGGAGCAACTACTTTAACAAGCACTTCTACTACCCGGAAACATGGCTAATTTCAAGAATTGTGAATTACAATTTTTTACCAACATTTGCTCAGTTAGTTGGAGATGCTGTTACAAATGCATCCCTGTGTTTCTTAGAAAAAAACTGATCTCCACCCCCTGATTAAATGGAACTTAAGGCCACCAATTATAAAACAGAGCCTCAAAAATTGAGCGGTTTAGGATAGGTTAATATCTTTCTATGCTATGCATGTCTGAAGAAAACCAGCACCCCTAGAGATGTGATGCAAATCCTAACCCCACAGAGGTGGCCAAACTCGTCAGCAAACCAGAGAGAGCCCTCTCTTCTAATCCCTGCTCCCTTCAGCTGCCTAATGGTAAAACCATGAGTCCAGATACTCACTGGAAACAAGTCAAATTTTCTCTCGATGACCACATCCATTAATTAGATTTTGTTCTGCTAGGGATTGTTTCTTTTACTGCTGTCCCTAATGTCTGCATAAATGCAACAATAAATGCTGTGCCCTAGAAAAGCCGTTCAGTGGAACACCCCAGCCCTGAACTGACACTGCACATGCCAGCTTTGTGTCAGACAGTTCCACCACCCATTATCGAGCCGGGGAGGAACTCCCCGCAGGCTTGTGAGGCTCCCAGACATGCCGTGGACTGGACCCAGCAGTATCTCACCCAAAACTCCTGCTACTAACGTGGGTGGGATCCTGCTGGGTGGGAAGAGTCTCCTGGCAGAAGCCTTGCTCTCCTGAAGCCTTATTCTTGGTCTGATGACTATGTGTCCTAGAAAATGTTCTCACTTGCTAGCAATCTGTCTGTATGCATCTGTTAAGAGTGAAGTTTTGCAGCCTTTTACACATATTCCAGCAGAAGTCCCACAGATCTTTTCTGAGCTTGGGCACAAATACTGCACATGATTTAGCTCTGCCCAAATGGAGCAGAGAAATGCTATACTTTCAGCAATGTGGGGATAAGTATTTGTTGCTCTTCAAATCTTAATAAACGCACCTGTGGTGTCTAATAAAATGCTTTGCTATAGCTTCTTCCCTGCAAGTTCTGTATCGAAAAATGAAAAGAATATTAAAGAAAAATAACTGAAAACATATTTAAAAAAAAAAAAAAAAAAAAAAAGAGAAACTGGCAGACAGCCTCTTTCAATGAAGACTTCAGAATAGTCAACTAAATCATCAAACCACAGCCACACAGTTCCAGGTGAGCCATCCCCTCAGATCTGCATGGTACGAGCTCAGCTCTTCCATTGGTTTTAGAGGAACATAAACACATCTCATCCTGGGAAATCCTGATGGTGGTAAGAAACCTAGACATGCAAGGGGATGCATCTGCAGAGCAGGGAACACTATCATGGCTACTACCAACAGCATATTTTCCTGAATGGAAAAAAAAAAGCCCTTAAAAAAAAAGAAAAAGAAAAAAAAAGCAAGAAGCTTGTTGTATGTTTCACTGTAGCAGCATCCAAATTAACCACACAGCCCAGAAGTATATTAAGCTGGCAGGATCAGTCCAGGTTCCTCAGCCGATCCTTACAGAGCCTCTTTGCTGAAAGATGCATGTGAGAGCTGAGAGGCTCCAGGCTTTGTGGTAAAAGGCATCAAGCTGTGCAGCCATGGACCTACAAAATGATATTTAGGAGCAAATGGATCACTGTCCCAGCACTTCTCCAGGAAAAGGGGGAAAAGCCATCTGCTGCTGAGTGCAGCATCTGGCAGTCACAGCCAATCCTTCTTAACTCTCATCTCTCCTGCAGCTAATGTGCCTCCTCTCAGGCATTACCACTGAGGTGCCCAAATCCCACCACACAGCATTTCACATGGCACGTCCTTACTTGTACTAATCTGACAAAACTAATCCAGAAGCCAGGATACAGAAGCTGCTTATGGGCTAACTTGAACGAAGGAGGCTGTCTCTTAACCCCCTCTTCCCTCTCTGCAGCAGAGGGAACCTGGCTTTATGGGCCTCCACGTGTACGTCTCAAACCCTTCTCCCTTGCCTTAGTGCAGCAAGGACCTGATGAGGCCCCACGGATGCCCTCTGCCTTTGAGGTAGAATATCCAGCTACCAGGAGCTCTTAGGAGCATTGTACCTTGTAGTCAGGTCTACCACGTGGCAGACAGCTAGCTAGGTTTCAGCATTTACCTCTGCAGAATTAAGCACCTCCAGCATAACAGATGAAGTGTATTTGTGCAGTACTTTAAAAATTATGATGGAAGCACTAAAGGTTATTTATCATCTCTTAGGAGTTTCAGAAGTTTACATATAAAATATAGTTGTTGCCATTCTGCATTGATAAGTGATATAGAAACAGCCTTCCAAATAGACTGCAGTGTTCCAAACTTGCTGATAAGACTGAATTATAAAACTCTATTCTTTTTAGCCTAATGCATGAAGAAAAGAGAGAGTATAATATGCAAGTTGGGGCACTCCCATCAGTGCTGTAGACCAGGCTTGCAAGTCGAGCTTGCCCGTTTTTCCACAAATATTCCAGTCCTCGAAAGCACAGAGGTTAACTGGTCAGCAAAGCTTGGGAGGCAAGATGCCAAGGGACCATGGGTGCTGACGAAGTATACTGATGGGAATTTTCCAGTTTCTACTCCAGTATGGATTGTGCACAGATCTACTATTAACTAACATCCTAGAAAGATTCCCAAATTAGACATTTGTAAGTTTCAACGTCTTGCTTCATGAAAGGAACCGTCAAAAAGACAGTTGCTGAACCGTTGATTTCAGGGTAGCAATACTGGAGGTCAGAAAAAATGCTTGCCGTGGCTTTAATGGAACCAACACCCATGTCTTGAAGTTGTTAGTCAAGCCAACAATGGGGCCTTGATGAATCGAAAGCACTGTGGGAGGAAGTTACAACCTGTACGAAAATAACATTGCCCTAACTGTCAGTAAGCAACTGCAGAAACCTGAGTAAACTCTTTTCTTGCTTTTAAAAGCAGTTGCCAGTAAAAAAACCCAACAAACCAGTAAGTGATTTTGATTTCCTAATGACTAACTACTATTTAGTACCAAGAATGACAGTAAGTTTCAAAGACATTTTTTCAGTCAAGACACATCTTCTACACTAATTAATAAAACCTTTCTGTACATTCTACAGCATCAGGCACACAAAGCAGCAGGCGGAGTATTCTGAGCTCATATGCTGTGGATCCCCTCAAATTCAAAGACAATTTCTCCACTAATAGGAGTTGGAAATTGCATAAACATCTCACAGCTTTTGAAAAACTCAACCCACGTTTACAAAGCACAAATTATCCCCAAATCTTGAATTATTTGACTCGGATAAAGGACCTTGCAGTTTCCTTGTAGCTGTTGCTGACATTTATGCTCACGTGTCAGCGTCAATTCCAGTGCCACAATGCTGGTATTTTGACAGGCTCTGTGCTCCCCTCTCTGTGTGTTTCAGTTTCAAAAAGCTTCAAGCTGTCGGATTCTTCTAGTGCAAGCAGAGCTGAGCCCTGGATATTTCACATACTGACAAGGTGAGGGAAACAACAGTTCCCGGGGAGACAGAGCATTGGAATGAGGATGACTTTTGCTGTTCATCCTACAGGTCACACACAGGAACGGCTGAACAGATGGTATCTGTGGGTCCTTATGCTGCCTTCAGCCAGTTTTACACAGGAGTCAAGTCGGTGACTTCAGGTAACGTTGCTTCTCAATGGTATAAAGCAAGAGATGCAGGCAGATGGCATGTATGTGGAAAATATCTTCAGCTCTAATCTGGTCACGTACCCACACCCAACAGATACATCTGTGGTTTTCATACCCGAGCACTAGCTACTGAAGCAAATGCATGATCAATGGAGAGGCGGGACAGATCCATCTCCACACAGGAGGAAAATAGTGGAACTATTCTTATGTCCCTTCAGTTTCTTTTGAATTGTGAGCAGCTGTGCCCTAACACACATACTCTGCTCCAAAATCCCCATGGCAAAAGCCAGGCTACAGGACTGTACCCAGGGAGAGGAATCCTGTAGTGCTGGTGAAGGGCTGGGCATGCTGGTAATGTGCAGTCAAGTAATGGATGGTTTTGAGGGCATACAAGAGGCTTAAAGGCAGCGTATGAACAAGACTTTCCAAGCCAACGCATTTTCCTGATTTCCAAACCTAACTGAGTAACAGATGGGGATCTGGTTGTAGAAGCCCTTTGCATTAGCACATGTCAGATTAGCTAATGAAAGAAACTGCTTAATCTTTTCCTGCATCCAGCGTCCTTTGCGAGACGTGTTCAATAGGTACCCTTGGCCGTCTCCATGTACATTCACACTCCTCCTTAAGCGTCTGTCCTGAAGCCCTTGAAGTCACCTTGAGCTCTTTCTCTTGACAAACAGGACAGCAAGCTGTAAGACCTTTGTTGCGACAACTTGGACATGTCAGGACAAGCTGCCGGCAGTGCTGGCTGGAACAAAGTTTATACTGGTCCCACAGTGTCCCACAGTATCTGCATGCTGGAGGGAGTAGGAAAACAAAAAGTTAACACCAACATGCCCCATCTGTCCCCCTTGCAGAGGATTCTCCCAGGCACCAGGGGGATGCAATCTCTCACTTGGCTATCTATTGTCTTCCAGCTTTTTAATTCCTGCTTTAGCTTTATCTTCCAGAACCTAGTTCATTTTTAAACTTCCTTTTTGATGTAAAAAACTTAGGACAGCTGTCTCTCAGGAAAAGGAAAAAGTACTCAGCAGTGCTTCCTCTAGTTCTGATTAGGCAGATTTAAAGATTCTTGCTGCCAAGAGAAGAAGAAAGATACGCTGGTGGTAATTAAATTAGTATGCAGGAATATTGCCTGCTGGGGAAAAAGGTGCCATGGGACTTCCTCCCACCTAAAACAACGGATTGTCCAGGTGGGGTGTCAGTTGCAGTCCTGGTTGAGTCCTTCCACATCATCATACAGGTTTGAACCCTTTAACTTAAAGCTACAGCCCCATTTAGCTGTACCATCAAGAAGATGCCTACCGCAACACTTCTGTAGGGGTAGCTCAGATGTATCCAGAGTGTGTTCTGTTTCTACATCAAGCCAAGCACCTTCAAGTTGTATATGGTAATTGCAGAGAATGAATAGGAGGTTATGCTTAAAGAGTTACCCACTCAGAGGAAAAACAGTGCTGCTTCCTAAAGAAGGCTAGAGCCAAATTCCATCTATTTGTACTTGGCAACTGAGAAGAAGAAAACCAATATTTCATTTGCAATATCTGAAGAGCGACCCCAGCCAGAAGCCCAGGCAATGTTCTTAACAACTTCAGCTAGAGGTGACTGAAATTCTACAGGCTACAGCAGCTTGTAAAGCATGAAAATAAAAAAGTGCTGTAGAGCTTAGTGCCACTCCTCTCCTAGTGCTTGGCAGCCTGTGCTGATGTTCTGTGAGATTACTGGAGCAGAGAACAGCTGACAGCAGGAGAACTATTTAACGCTCTGGTCACTTGGCCAACCACAGTCTGATCAGCACTGTGGGTAACAACAGCAGTAGTGCTTGACACACATCTCCATAGCTGCAGATGGCTCATAACAGCAGCTGTTCTGCAGGGAATGCTTCCTTTTACTGCTGCAGTTTTAGGGAACTGTATTTAGTGAGACCCTTTTCTCTCATTTCCGTTTTATATGTTAAAGCCATAGAGTTGACAATCATCATGAAAAGTGATGGCACTAAAAGATCAAAGCAAATATGAGGAAGAAGTACGCAGACCAGTTTGGCTGTCCCTATCCTGCACATCCCTGTGGAAACGATTGCAAAAGCCTCCCAGCCTTCTGCACTTACATTACGTAGTCCTACCTGAGATGATATCTTCATTGGAACAAATGGCGTAACGGTCATCAAACACAAACAGCTTCCCCCTGTAGAATCCATCTGGAAACTCTTCCAGGTACTTGTGAATTCCTCCTTTTAGCTGGTATACCTCTCTGCACACTGCCTGTTTAAAACATATTAGCAGAAAAGCTGAAGGAGACAGCAGCAGAGGTGATGTGCCAGAGTTCCCAAAGCAAATGTAAATGCCAGGGGTCAACAAAAAGCAGCATCTTCTCAGTCACCATCAGATGGCACCACGTGCCATCAGGGATTATGGGGCAGCTCCACAATCCTGGCTTGTTGACATGAACCCACATGTGCACTTAATGTTACAGTCACAAAAAGGCTGGTAACCTCATCAGGTGAGGGAGGTCTGCTGCATCACACATCAAATGCTTTTGAACCTCTGTGAGCCGTTACTTATTCTGGTTTTATGTAGTGAGCTGTTACCAGGAACAGAATTTCTCTGGGTTCCCATTGGTGAAGCAGAGAAAAAAAAAATCGAAGTTAAATCTCTGGAGAACATACATGTGTGCTGTTTCCTTGCTCCTTGAGGGAGGGATCCAGGAAAAGAGTGGGCTGGCAAGCACCATCAGAACAATGCAGTGTACTGGATTTAATTCCACAACAGTGGGAAAGCACTGACTGGCTGATTTTCAGCACTCTGAGATGCTCAAGCTGTGCAGTAATGATTACAGAGCATAACCTAGACAGAGCTCGTGGAAACACTGCAGAATGCTCTCAAACCGTCGTAAAACACCGTTACAGTGGGCAGGGCAGACTTACAAGTACCCCTTCTCAGCAAATGGGTTATAAAATTATTTTCACAGAGCAATCACTGCTGTGACACTTGTCCGTGCAGATCATCCTGGGATGCATTAAACTACCCACTTCCTTGACAGACAGCTTGAGGCAAGTGTGTGTCAGAGACATTTATCTCCCCACCTGCTCATTGAGCAGTTTGTGCTCAGTAAGAATTTTCCAACAAAAGAAAAGACAGCTGCCCCTAAAGCAGCCACAGTTCCCCAACACTCACAACTGCCCTCAAGAGTGGGCATCTCACCTTGCTCCGTAGGTAAGCAGAGCCTCTTTCACAACGAATTCCTCCTGTGCAGTACATCAGGACACGCTTGTCCTTAAAAAGCTCCAGGTTTTCATCTACATAGCTGGGAAAATAGCTGAACTTCCTGATATCTGGAGCCAGACAGCCCTGGAAATGCCCCTGCAGTAACAACAGATGGCCATGCGACTGGTTACGAGCAGTCTTACACACTGTGCCTCGAACTAGAGGAAGTAAAAAACCTTCAAGGCCAGAACACTCAGCTCACTGCAGCTGCTTTAGTCAGTTCCTCAGCTGCATTTCTGCATCAAAATCCCTGTAAAAATCTGTAAGGGGATTCTGGACACAACATGCACCCAAACATAAAAGAGGGACCTAAGCAGAACAGAACTGTTGGGGGGAGGATGAGCCACAATAGTACGGGAGGGCTGGTGGGTGTGACAGCAAGTCGCCCCTGTTCTTTTTGATGTATGGAACAAGGCAAAAAGTGCTGGAAAGCATTCTTAACAAATTATGCTACTTTTACTTCAAGTTACATGGCATTCACTGCTAATACTGTTATGGACCACTTTGTCTTTCTCCTGTCCCAAGCTGTATAAGCACTTAGCCGGGCAGGATCCGTGCTGAGTTGCTGAGCAGGTCTTCTGCTGCTACTGTCCAATATTAATTGCTACATTGAATTTTGTACATATTACAGTCAATCTGGAATATGGAGTCTCTTCTTCCAGTAAGGCTGCACCCTCACAATGTGAAATGCTTTCCCCCAGCACTTGTAACACACAGCGAGAAGCAAGCAAGCAACACTTACTATTTTACTTTCATAGAAGTTCCTACAATCCAGCAAGATGGTATCGCTTTGTCCTTGACTGGCCTGAGACAAATACTGTTCTACTTCTCTATGAAATTCCTGAGGGGATAAATGGATTCCTTAAAAAAAAAAAAAAAAAAAAAAACCAAAAAAAAACAAACAACCAAAACAAAACACAAAGGGAAAAAAGGAGAAAAAAAAACAGAAGTGAGAAAAGAACTACAAAACAATGTTACGTATGACCTCGTTTGTCCAGAATCTCCTCAGACTTCCAAACAAAAATTTTCTGTGACAGCTCACACACTTTTTGTCCCAACTCAACCAGCCAAGTTTATCTATGTTTGGCTTCCGATTGGCAAATAAAAGCAAACACAACATTGTTCCACATGACAGAAGCAGCAGCAGACAGGCGCCTGTCTCTATGATCTTAGTTATACATCCCCCGGCAACTCTCACAGTTGTAAAAGCAAGAGTGAAAAATGTTTCCCTTCCCTTTTCTCATCTTTCATTACATTTGGACGTACAGAAGTCTACAGAAATACAATTTTTTCAATGAAACTCTTCTCTGTTGATAAAAATGGAAAATTTCCATAAGCCTATATTACTTTCAGTATAGCTTCAATTTACATGAAGTTTCTCAGCTTTCAGGTTGCACAGGACTTAGAACTACCAACATCCTGAAAAGCAAAAAACCACTGCCAACAAAATCCATTACCTTATTAAAGAATAACCCTACAAGCAACCTGCGAGAGTAATGGGAACCATCTCCATAAAATGCTGTAAAATGGGAGGAAAAAGGAAAAAAAAAGGAAATAAATAACCAAACATACATCCCACAAAGTGCCAAAAATGGGAGAAAAAATAATCCTCTGCCCAAACCGCAAAGACAGTGTAAAAATTTACCACCAAGAAAACCTCTTGTTGGAAAAAAAAGAAAAAAGGCCAAAACCACTGTCAGTTGCTACTAGCTGTGCTCCTGCTTACCACCTACATAAGTGTCCTCATAGCAGATGTACAGCCAGTAACGTTTTATCGGGCATAATCCACACTAAGCAGCTACAGGTAGCAGAAAACAAATGTAGCCTGTGTTACATCATGTGAGGAGTGGCAAGGACCTGATGCAGAACTTCGCTCTACTTTTGTGTAAAAAGCAGGAGCATGGCTGTTAGCTTCAACATAAGTAAAGCCAAGTCAGCAGTCCCTCACACAAGAACACGTGTATACTCAACTGTAAGCTTCAGTGGGATTCTGGCGGTTTCTAAAAATAAAAGCTCTCAGCGTGCAGAACACCACAATCCACTGGATCCACAAGAGGACTCCATGGAAAGTTCTTCCTATACAGCTTAGTTCTTACTGCAAGCTAACCAGAAAAAGAGAGCATTGAAGCTCTTTATATGGTATAATTTCTGAGCAGTCCCAAGCACCTACAGAATATTTAGAACAAGTATGAATACATAAACACACTGAAATGTCTTTCCTAACCATCATACACAGTTTCACCTTACATCCATCTTTAGCAGATGCTCAGTGACTTACTCCCTGATGAAAGCACAAGGTATGTCCCTACCCCAAAACAAGGAAACTGCTTGATGTCATCTGAACGGTTACTGTTTCCCACAAAACAGAAAGTTAATTCTATTTTTTGAGGCAGCTGAACACTTAGCAAAGCAAAAGCTGGGCCAGCAAATTCCCTGCGCCAGTGACTTCTGACTACCAGTAAGAAACCAATTTCTGTATCTACTTTTCCCATGTCCTGGCCGCTGTGCAGAAGGAAATGTTATTGATGAGAGTACTTTATTCTTCACTCATTTCTCCCTTGGGTGAGAGGCTTTATTTTTTCATTAAATCAACTTACCAGTTTCTTTATAAGACACTATCTTTGGATCAATGCCCATAGGTACAATTTCTTTGAATACTCCAACTCGAAGGTCTGGGAAACAGTGAGCTCCTCCTGCACTGCTCTAGGAAATTAAACATAAAAAACAATCCACCAAAATTTGCCAGGTGTGAAGATTAAAAATACCCATTCACTTTAATTTCTACAGCTCACTAGAATATGAAAGTCTATTGATGGCTGAGGGGAAGAAATGCCTCTCCCACTGAAATCCATGCTCTAAATCCCCAGGTTTAGGCAGTGGACCCCTACCGTGACCAGGCAGACAGATATCATAGGACCAATGACGACTCTGCAGGTGAGACAGGCACCATTTGGAGTAAGGTGCAAGTCACTGAGATGTGGAAAGGAGGACAGATCTTTGTCAGAAACAACGTCACTAGCACCTATCATGAGAAAGTCGAGGCCCCTGCAGAGCATACTGACCCTGACAGGAATATTAAATAACCTCCTCCAGTGACGGATCATGGTGACACCTCTGGGTGTCAGTTCTCTTCAGCCCCTCTGACCCCCAACACAAGCACACCTGGGCCTCCAGTCATGACATGTGCCATAAGAAATGCAGTGGTTCATGGCGTGAAAGAGACATATGGGAGGTTAGCCAGCTTCAATATTTGTTAGCAGTGGAGTTGGACACCACCCACGTCCAAACTCAAGCGTAGGATTCTTCCTCTGGAGGTCCTGGAAAGCCCTTTTTGGTAGGTGCCCGTAGTGCAGGTGACAGGAATCAGGAATTTCTCCAGGGCTGAGCCTCAAAGATGGCTTAGGCATTATGAAGCATAAAAACACTCAAACAGAAGTGCAGTGCTGTGCAGCACTGTCCCAGCTAGCACAGAAATAGTCTGTAGCAACTACAGTGACCACTGAATATTTTCATAGCCCCACATGCAATTTTCAGTCCTCTGTGCCCACATCTTCATGGCACAGGACCTGAACCCCCCACTCACTTGGGTACACAGCATGCAGAGGACCTGGGAGACAGACAATACCATCACATACCAACACATGAGTGTCAATGCCTAGAGAGATCATGCAAGGTTCGAGATTTTGCCAAGGTCAAGGTAAAATTCCATCCCTGGTGTTTTGTTTTTGTTTTTTTTTTTCGCATCTACACATCACTTTGACTAACAGGTCACATTTACCCTTGAAAACCAGCTAAGCACAACAGTTAAAAAGCTAAGAGTGAATCAGCACTGCAGCGCTACACGGGATTTGAGTTTCACTAACTCTCTTTGATCTAGTTATTTATGGTAAACAAAATAGTACTCTCTGCAAATAAAATTGTGTGGAAAAGAAAGATGCTAATAAAAGCAGCAGCTTTCCTTTTTCACAGAGAAAGCAATACCTGCAGTGCTGGGGCAGCAAAGCACTACCAGAATGCCATACGGTGCCAGCCACAGCTGCCATCACCATCTGAAGACAGCAATCAGCGCATATGCTCAGGCTTAAGCAGAAGTTTGCACCTCCCTCTCCCTCCAGCCAGGCACTAACTGGAATAGGGAGAAACCTCTTGACTCTGCCTGTTTTTTTTCCCTACCAGGCATCTGATTCATGGAACTGTCAGTGCACCTATAAGGACACCAAAGCCTGCATGAACCTAAACTTGTAAGCTTCTAGGGGAGGATCTCAAATCAGGGTGAAGAGGAGAGCGCGGGAATACTTTGGTTGGGCAAGTGTACGTTGTGATGGCTTGGTCCCGGCAGACAAGTTGGAGTAAATGCTTGTTGAAGAATGGTGGGGCTGAAGAACACACCCTCATTCACTTGTATGGGGGGCTTTGCACCTGCACCCATAGCTACCAAAGCTTGCAGCAGCTGCTATCACTGCTCGTGATAACTGCTACTGCTCATGAAAACCGGCAGGGATATCTACATAAAGTAAGGTTAGGAACCCTTGGCTTAGATCAGTGCTGGGAGAGCAGAACTGCTAGAGCAGAAGTAATACTATCAAGAAGCAATGTGCTTATTTCTCAAAGAGCAAACATCCTCAATTAACAATGTCTGTGTAGAAATTATTTTTTTCATACCTTGAAATCCTCTTGACACAAAATGTCTTTGAACAGAGGCTGGGAAAGCATGACTTCAATGTAGAGCCTGGTAGCTACTTTGCTTCCACCAACTGTCCCATTAATCCCTTCTGAAGCAACTCGTACCTAGAAGGCAAGAGGAGATGCTGGGGCTAAGGCTTAGTAACAGCAAATTCAGATCACAGTGAACTTAGCAAAATATGACTGTGTGACAAAAGGCAGACACAGAAGTATGTCCAGAAAAGAGACTATTGAGGAAGGAAGGAAAGGAAGGTTATACTGAAGTTGAACATAGAGAAGAAAATAAATAATACAGGAATAAAACCCCAGTAATCACGTCAGAGCCATTTCAAAAGAATGACATCAAGACAATCAGAAAAGTCCATGTAATAAAGAGAGAAATGCTAACTAGTTAACAGGCAAATCCTGCAGTCAGCATTAAAATTCCCACTGGAACTCTGCCTCAGAAAGAACAATGGGATTGTGCCCAATGACTCACACAGCTAAAAGGAAAATGTGAATTTGCATAATACTGCATGTAATATTAAATTTCAGTGTGAGTCATTTTATCTCCAGCACTGACAAATGAACAATAACTCTGAAGTGGTGAATTATTTTTTTTTAAAAGAGACTGAAGATAAGAGGGAAGGAAAAAAACAACTGGCAAATGCTGTACCTGTCTTGGAGATGAAAAAAATAAAAAAAATAAGAAAAATACCAACCACCAGACTATATAGCTGAGCAAAAAAAGAAGGAAATGCATCAGGACACTTCAGCCCCAGATCCGTGCTGACAGAACAAGGAAGGTGCCTACCATTAGCAAAGAAAGAGAAGCTACTTAGGAAGACAAGTCAAAGATAAAAGTAGTCTCCTGCTCTGAGTTGCCCTCTTGAAAAATCCTTCTTCCCACAAATTGTCTAGAACATCAGTTTCATGATGCCAAAATTCACCTTTGCCCAAAGCCTCAAGAGGCCAGCTACATGAGCCAACTTACCTCCTTGATCCTTTGCCAGAAGGAAAAATAAAAAGACTGTGGAGGCATAAGCACTGCTATCCTATGGTGTGGTTGTCATGGTTTAGGCCACATTGGCCTATTACGGGTGACAGATGGTCTCCCCTGACTTCCCACTCCCAGGAGGAGAGAGAAAGAGATTTACAAGTTTACAAGGAACTAAACTACTTTAATAAAATATTAATAATAAAATTAAAAGGAAATAATGAAATAGATACAATAGATACAAAACTGTGTGAAGCTCCCAGGATGACATCACTGGCAGGCACTGGGGAAAGTCCCAGACTTGACTCAGTGACAGATGGGAACCGGATTCCAGCTCAGGAGTCAGGAACACACGAATCTGGATCAAAGGCAGATCCTCTTTGGACGTCGGCCATTGAATAAAGAGGCTGGGCCTTTGATCCCTCAGCTTTTATACTGGGCATGATGCAGGTGGGATGGAATACCCTGTTGGTCATGTTTGGGTCACCTGTCCTGCCCGCTCCTCCCTGCAGGTGGGACCCCTCTACGCTTCTCCGTTTCCGACCCTCCAATGGGGCAAATAACACAATTAGCTGACCTTGGTTGTTATGGCAATAAGTACAAGCAAGAGCCTCTCTGCATACCATTCCTTGGCATGAAGTGCAAACATTGGTCTTATCACTCTGAGAACGAAGTTTTCTGCACAATAGGCTGTTAATTTCAGAAAGTCAGAAGAGGCCTAGCTAAGAAGAGAAATTACTGAACAGGAAGTTGGTTCTGTTTTACCTCAAACCAGGACAGTAGCCTAAGGTGTCAGCTGCTCTCACCTCAGCCCTGACAGCATGGATTACAGCTCAGTGCAGAGATTCTGACCGGAAGCCCACTGCACATGGAGGAGTTAGTGATACACGTAACAGGAGTGAGCCCAGACCCTTGCTGCACAACGCTGCACCTCCAGCTCGGCCGTCAGGCTGGGCTGTGCTGCACGTATCCTTTAGCTGCAGAATAAACCCAGCCCGATAACCCTAACAGAGATGCTTGCACATAGCTCCCTATTCATACCAGTGATTATGCCACCTGCTTGTCCCTGTCTTTAACTAAAAGTGCATCCTTTCTGCTTGACAGTAGGGATGCTGAAAAGACTTGTTGTCCTGTAAAAAAAGCACCTGTAGCAGTTCGAATGATGGAAATGGAGTAACAGGGTCTGCATGGTGTGTTGCACGTGGATCAGAGGCTCACTCAGCGCTGCACAAGTCAGGGTTCCCAGCATCGAAAGGGATAAAAGATTATCTGTATTATTCTCTTTTTCTTTGTAGACTTAGCTCTTAAACAGCACGTCAAATGGCGCTCTACAGAGTCTGAGTGCCTTTCTTAATAGGATCATAACGGACTAGCACCTCCTGGTGCAAAACACTTTGGTTCTCCACATGCTCCATCATCCTGCACTAAGCAAAGGAGATGCTTTTCTGTTAAGAATGCAACCATTGCCTAAAACCTTACCTTGCCAGTGAGATGCAGATGCTGGCACAGAGCCTTTTGCCAAGCACAGAGCTTCTCTGGATCCTTCACCTCACAGTAACAGTAATACAGAAGTACTTCTCCCACCTTGCTGTCCATAGCATGGCAAAGACGAACAAATAGAAAAAGGACGTTAGGGTTGAAAGCACAAAAATATACTACTGCATTAACCCTTCAAAAAGCAAACATTTTTTTTCTGGCAGATGTGGGGACAAAACCAAACCAAAACAACACAACAAACTTTGGAGGCATTAGCACTGCTGGGCTTATTTCCAAGAGAAATATGAACTATCAAAGCTCCCACATTCTTAGTTCTCAGGACCGGTTACAAAATGAACTCATCTGTGCTGCATGGAACATCTCTGTCAGTGGCCTCAAGTTTCTACTCACGTTTCTCTCAGGACACATGAACTCCTCTTCTGTGCACACAAGTGTCCCATTAAGTGCTTAATTTGACAAACTTGCACACTGAAAATTCAAGTGTTTGAGCTATCTAAATGTAAAAAGCCAAAATCTGCAGCGAGATTGTGCGTGCAGGCATTCAGAGCAGTACAAGCCAAACCTTCTCACAGTCCGAAACATTTTCGTATACCTACATATTCATAGCTAACAAGCCCTTAAGGCACTTGAATGAGCTCAGAAAATGGACCTCTGCAGAGCATACCCTGCTGTTCTGCACTTCTCTGTTATGGTCCTTCCTCATTTAGAGATCAAAGTCTTCAACAACCTGATGAGATGCAGCAGAGGGTCCTGAGGGAACTGGCAGATGAATTTCCTAAGCCACTATCCATATTTGAATATTTGAAGTCGTGGCAGATTGGTGAAGTTCCCACTGACTGCAAAAGGAGAAACATGACCCCCATTCCTAAAAGGGGAAAAAAGGAATACTTGGGGATTGCACAGGCCAGTCAATCTCACTTCAGTGCCTGGCAAGATCATGGAGCAGATCCTCCTAGAAACTACACTAAGACACTTTGAAAGTAAGGAGGCAATTGGTGACAGCCAACATGGCTTCACCAAGGGTGAATCGTGCCTGACAAATTTGGTGGCCCTCTACAATGAGGTTAGAGCCTTGGTGGATGAGGGAAGAGCAACTGACATCATCTACCTGGATCTGTGCAAAGCCTTTGACACTGTCCCACATGACATCCTGGTCTCTAAATTGGAGAGACATGGACTTGACAGCACACTCAGGGAATAAGGAATTCGTTGCATGGTCACACTCAAGAGTTGTAGTCAACAGCTCAATGTCCAGGTGACAAGTGTTGTCCCTCAAGGGTCCATACTGTGACCAGTATTATTTAACATTTGTTAAATTTGTTGGTGACGTGGACAGTGGGATTGAGTGCACTCTCAGCAAGTTGCCAACAATACCTGTGTGGTGCGGTTGACACGCTGGAGGGAAGGGATACCATCCAGAGAGACCTGGACAGGCTTGAGAGGTGGGCCTGTGCAAACCTCATGAGATTCAACAAAGCCAAGTGCAGCATCCTGCACATGGGCTGGGGCAACCCCTGGTATCAGTACAGGGTGGGGATGAAGGGACTGAGAGCAGCCCTGCTGAGGAGGACGTGGGGTTGTTAGTGGATGAAAAGCTGGACGTGAGCCAGCAATATCTGCTCACAGCCCAGAAACTACAGTGGGATTGAGTGCACTCTCAGCAAGTTGCCAACAATACCTGTGTGGTGCGGTTGACACGCTGGAGGGAAGGGATACCATCCAGAGAGACCTGGACAGGCTTGAGAGGTGGGCCTGTGCAAACCTCATGAGATTCAACAAAGCCAAGTGCAGCATCCTGCACATGGGCTGGGGCAACCCCTGGTATCAGTACAGGGTGGGGATGAAGGGACTGAGAGCAGCCCTGCTGAGGAGGACGTGGGGTTGTTAGTGGATGAAAAGCTGGACGTGAGCCAGCAATATCTGCTCACAGCCCAGAAACTAACCATATCCTGGGCTGCATCAAAAGCAGCGCGGCCAGCAGGATGAGGGAGGTGATTCTGCTCCTCTACTTCACTCTCGTGAGAGCTGAGGGATACCATCCAGAGAGACCTGGACAGGCTTGAGAGGTGGGCCTGTGCAAACCTCATGAGATTCAACAAAGCCAAGTGCAGCATCCTGCACATGGGCTGGGGCAACCCCTGGTATCAGTACAGGGTGGGGATGAAGGGACTGAGAGCAGCCCTGCTGAGGAGGACGTGGGGTTGTTAGTGGATGAAAAGCTGGACGTGAGCCAGCAATATCTGCTCACAGCCCAGAAACTAACCATATCCTGGGCTGCATCAAAAGCAGCGCGGCCAGCAGGATGAGGGAGGTGATTCTGCTCCTCTACTTCACTCTCGTGAGAGCTGACCTGGAGTACTGCGTCCAGCTCTGGAGACCTCAGCACAGGAAAGACATGGACCTGTTGGAGAGAGTCCAGAGGAGGGCCACGAAGATGATCAGAGTGGGCTGGAGCACCTCTTCTATGAGGACAGGCTGAGAGTTGGGGTTGTTCAACCTGGAGAAGAGAAGACTCCAGGGAGACCTTAGGGGGGCTAACGGAGAGCTGGGGAAGGACTCTTTATCAGGGAGTCTAGCAATAGGACAAAGGGTAATGGCGTTACACTGAAAGAGGGTAGATTTAGGTTAGATATTAGGAAGAAATTTTTCACTATGAGGGTGGTGAGACATGGGAACCCGTTGTCCAAAGAAGTTGGGGATGCCCCATCCCTGGAGGTGTCCAAGGCCAGGCTGGATGGGGCTTTAAGCAACCTGGTCTTCTGGGAGGTGTCCCAGGGCAGGGGGGCTGGAATTAGATAATTTTTAAGGTCCCTTCCAACCCAAAATAATCCTATGATTCTACAAAGTAAAACCTGCACAGGTCTGCTTTAACAATGTGGGAAGATACAGCTCTGATAGTTCAATCCTCTGAAGTTCCCACCTTTGCCATCATAAAAATTCAGCACATCTACTTCTGTACCAGCACCATGGTAATCTGCATGTTTTATAAAGGCATGACCAGTTGTGAGTGAAATTAAAATAAATTAAGTGACTCCTGGAGGGTATCTACATATATTGATCTAAAGAAGTATCTCAGGAAGGTATGTAAAGGAATACCAGGGAAGAATCTTTGCCTATCTTAAAGTGTCACATGATTGAACATCATAAAAATAAAAAAGCAGTACTGGCAAAAGGTCACGTAAACAGTAAGGAGGCCAACGGAATCATGAAATTGTCAGAGTTGGAAGGGACCTCTAGAGATCATCTAGTCCAACCCCCCTGCCAAAGCAGGATTGTCCAGAGCACATCACTCAGGACTGCATCCAGGCGGGTCTTGAGGATCTCCAGAGAAGGGGACTCCACGACCTCCCTGGGCAGCCTGTTCCAGGGCTCTGTCACCCTCACCATAAAGAAGTTTTTCCTCATACTTGAGTGGAACTTCCCATGTTCCAGCTTGTGCCCGTTGCCCCTCATCCTGTCACTGGGAACCACTGAAAAGAGTCCAGCTCCATCATCCTTCAACCCACCCTTTAGGTACTTGTAAACATAGATAAGGTCTCCCCTCAGCCTTCTCTTCTCCAGGCTAAAGAGCCCCAGCTCTCTCAGCCTTTTCTCATAAGGGAGATGCTCCAATCCCTTAATCATCTTGGTTGCCCTACATTGGACTCTCTCCAGTAGTTCCCTGTCCCTCTTGAACAGGGGAGCCCAGAACTGGACACACTATACCAGTTGTGGCCTCACCAGTGCAGAGTAGGGGGGGGAGAATGACCTCCCTCGACCTACTGGCCTCACTCCTGGCCAGTACTGGTCCTCTGAACCGCTGAGGGAACTTTCTTACCTTGTCAGGTCGTCGTGGCTAACGTGGCTAGTGTCTGGGAGCGTGCAGGAGATCTCAGGGCTGCCACACGAGTGCCCGTCCAGCCCGTCCGCGCTGCCAGCCGGAGCCGGGCTGCTGGAGGGGCTGACCTCGGCCTCCAGCCCTGCCTGCTGCCCGATGTCTGCGCCGTGCTGCAGGGCCACATGCCTGTGGATGCCGGCCAGCTCCTCGAACGCCTGCCGGCAGCACCGCCACCGCACCCCGGCACCCCGGCCTCCCGCCGCCGGCACCTCCTTCGCTTTGACGAAGAGGGAAAAGGCCTGAAACGGCACCAGGCGCGCTGCTTCCTGGCGGCGGCGGCCGCCTCCCCCTCCGGCGGCGCCTCGCCCGGCACCATCCCCACCGCCTCCGGCCGCCGTCGCTCGGGAAACGCCCGGAAAGTTTCCTCTTTTCGCGCCGCCGCTTCCCCACCGGCTTGGCCCCGCTGACCCCGGAAGTCCTCCGGGTCCGGCTCCCCCCGCACAATAGAGCGGGGAGCAGAGAGGCGGCGGCGGCGCGCCCCTTGCCCCGGAAGCAGAAGCGTGGCGGGCTGTAAGCTGGGCGGTGTGGAAGGAGCGCGCTCCTCTTGTGGCCCGCGCCGCCCCGTCCCGCCCGTTCCCCGCCGCATCCCGACATGTCGCGACGGCGGCACAGCGACGACAGCGATGGTGAGCGACGAGGTAACCTGCCTTTTTCCCTTCTTTTACTTCTCCTGCGAGGCGGCGGGGGCGGTGCGGGGCGGGCCGGGGCCGTACCGCCGAGGCGGGAAGGGGTGTTTGGGGTGGGGGGGAATGGAATGGAGGGCGGCCTGGGCCGGGGGGGGGATGTTTCTGCGGCAGTAACGGTGCGGTCGGTGTGTTGGAGCAGGGCAGCCCCATAAGAGGCGGAGGACGTCTGAGCCGTCGGAGATCGAGGAGAGGCTGGAGGCGCTCATCTGCCGGGGGGGAGAGAAGGTAGGCGGGCCTGCCGCCTCACGGCCGGGCGGCAGCTCGGCAAAGTCAAAATGGTTCACCCCCTCCCTCCCCGCTTCTGTGCGTCGGGTGTTAGCGGTTCGTCTGTAGCAACCACCGAAAAAGATTTTTTTTTTTTTAATTTTTTTTTTTAAATGAGGTAGTTGGGAAGTTGTCATCTTTTGCAAAACCACGTGGTAAAACGGGCAAACGCTTAAATGGCAGTGTTATTTATACCTTCCCAGCAATGATAAGCAGCCAGCAAACGGTTAATCACCTTGCGTTTGCGGATGTTGTTGCTGATTCCAGGCCGCCAAGGATGTGGAGGATTTAACTTGCTCTGCCTGGGGTATGGGCTTCGGGTCCTGACAGGAATTCAAGCTAACAGGGGGCATGGGGGGCAAAAGGATAAGGGCAAAAATGACGGTGCACTGAAAATCAAGTTGTGAATGTGTTTAATTTCTTGCCGTATCATTAATCAAGGCTCAGTCGCCTTACCAGGATGTCCCCGAGGCAGCGTTAGATCTTCCATCCCAGGGGAGCACTGGAGTTTTTTGCAGGGGAGGTGGGTGATGAGGTGCAGCTCTTCTGAGGAGTTGCTGCTCCTTCTTGCAGGCGAGTGAGGGTGGTTCTTTACTGCTGATGGAAATGAATCGTTGCTCTGAAAAAGGAGGTGACATAAAAGAATGCTCAAGTTCCTTGTCTTCCACCTGAGAGTCAGGGGCCTGGTTGATGGTGAAACTTGTTTGTTTTTTTTGTTTGTTTGTTTGTTTTGTTTTAGAGCAATTCATCCTTGGAGAGCAACTTGGAGGGCCTAGCTGGTGTTTTGGAAGCTGATCTGCCAAATTACAAAAGCAAGATATTAAGAATACTATGTACTGTGTACGTATGCAGGGTGTCTGGGGATCTGGGAGGAGCTTTCTTTGTGCATAAGCTTAAGTGTTTAAGGTAGTTTAAATGCCAAGAATGGCTTTAGTTCCTGAATGCTGTTACAGCATAGAGCTTGTTTTACTACAAACAAAAGAGATAGAGGAATAAGCTTATTATGTACCAGGTATAATTCAAGGAAAATACAGTACCTTGACTTGAAACTTGTATAAAGGCTCAAAGCAGAGAGAAGAAACCTTAGACCTGCTCTTCAGTAGCAGTGAGAGTACAGTGATGCTGGGCAATGTCCTGTATCCCAACGAAATGCTTAAGAGCACTGTTGGCTGCTAGCACTTATTTAGTCTTATTATCTGCACTGTTTTCCCGTTGCCTGTTCCTCGTCTCTGGCAATAAGATGCTTGCGTCTTTGTAAGCCCATTTGCTAGAGGAGGGGAGCTGAAAACACAGAGAGCTGAAAGCAAGCTCTCTCCTTCCTCTCCCTAGCAGAGTGCAGCAGCAGAGGTGTCCTCTCTCTGGGTCACTGAGTGGTGTCTGAGGGAGGCGTTGTGCAGGGTCTATGGCAGTAGGCAAGAGATGTATGAAGGAGGGTTTTGGAGAAGAGGGAGAGTGTTCCAGCCCTAGCTTGTGCTATGGTTGTGCAGATACTTTAAATCTATTTTGTAGCGATGTCTGTTTATGTAAGGTAAATAGTATGTTTCCCTATAGCAGTAAAACAGATATAGGGAAATGCTATAGTAAGTTGTGTAAATGCTGCAGTAAGTTCTGCTGGAGAGTGCTGTACTAAGTTCTGAAAGGGTTACCTTACATGCGTACAAAAATGGTTGAGGAAAATTAATTCCCTGTAGTAGGACCTGGCCTTTCCTGTGCTGCCTTGACTTGAGAGATTTGGAATCAAAATTAATAGAGTAAAATGTGTACGCTTCCTGTGTAATCCTGCTGATGCTGTATGATGAAATTATTTCTAAAGTATGAACTTAAAACAACTTCTTGCATCCGTGTATAAATTCTGCCACTTATGTTATTTGGCCAACTCTCCAGAATACTCAGCAATTAGATAAAAATAAAAAGTAAATAACTTAAATGTGCGTGTAAGTGGCACCTGCCTCTCATTTAGAAACTGTATTAGACTAATTAGAAGCTACATTTAGACTGTAGTTAAAAAAAATAAAGATCTGTGAAAGATTAACCATGGGATAGGACTGTAAGATCACACTAGCACTTTTTTCTTATTTCCTCACGAGGCAAGTTTCACTTACAATAAGCAGATTCTAAGATGCTATACAGTTACCAGTTGGCACGTGATTAATAAACAACTAACACCATGTTTCTTTTTTCTGTGTCAGTGCACGTCTGCTACCAGAAAAGCTTACTGTTTACACGACACTAGTTGGGTTGCTGAATGCCAGGAACTACAATTTTGGTGGGGAGTTTGTAGAAGCCATGATTCGTCAGCTTAAAGAATGTCTGAAAGTCAATATGTATAATGAAGCTGTGCATTTAGTAAGTGGGGTTTTGTTTGTTTGTTTTACATTTTTCCTCATCCTTTTTCTCCCTTCCTTCTTTCACCTTTTTGTTCTGGAAGAGCTGGGCCCTGCAGTGTGTATCACAGTCTCTTCTGGCATCAATGTGCAGTGCGCTGTAGATATACCAAGTGAGAAGTATTTCCTTCCTCACGGGAGAGAAAACATATTACAGTTGTAAAACTGACCTGCAAATATATATTTTCCCAGTGACAAATTCATTTGCAATAAACAGAGGTGGTCCCCCCCCACAGCCTGTTCTACAGTCAAATGTAAAACATAGATGAAAGTCATGCACTTTTATTGTATTCAGAGGAGTATTATGTTCTTGTGGCTGCCATGAAGAAAAATGGAAAAGAAGATGAACAGTCTGGTTCTTAAAAGCTACGTTCGATGACTGTTATCTAGCCAGTGTTTTCATTTTGCTAATAAGAGATGGAGCTCCAGCAGGCAATTTTGAGCACTGTCTTTGAAACCATTTGCTCAGCTCTTCCTGCTTACAGATTTTGTCTGCAAAAAGGTATTAGGACTTCAGTGCTGTCTGTTTTAGAAGCCTGGTACGAAGCTCCTCAGCTTCTTTTGAAGCCCACTGGTGAAAATACTCTATTTCAATGTATTTTTTCAAGTGAATGCTTCAATTGTGGGACACTTTTTTGCTAACAAAATCTTTGTTAGAACTCTGAATGTGCTGTCCCATGGCTTCAGCTTCACCTTCCCTGGTCACTGTCATACACAAATGACTTGTGAGAGTAACAGCTAAGGGAGTGGCAGTGGAAACCTTTCCTCCTTTTTGTCCAAGACTTTTCAAAGACTGTTCAGAGCAATAAATATGTGGAAAGTAAGAGCTGGGTACTTTTCCCTATTGCAGGTGTTCTTTGAGTGCTGAACTGTCTGTTTAGCCCAAATTGCCTTCCCAAGACTTCTTCCCAGTGATCTGCCTTCAGATCAAAGTACCTGTGGAATTTTTTTGGACTACTTTTGGTGAAGGTGCCCTTAAGAAAAAAATGAGCCTTAAAGAAGAAATGTGGGAGATTTTAATGCTAGAATTTCAACCTATATTTTCTGTTAAGATTGTGGTGATACTGGGAGAGCGTGGGTCCTACCAGGCCCTTGTTTAAGTCTGAAGGCAGGATACAAATCTAAAGAGAAGGGAGAGGAAAAGAAAAAAAGGGGGTGTGTGAACACTCCTCTGCCCTAGATGTCGTCTACTTAAATTGCCATTTCTGTCAGTCTGGATTTCTTACTAGAGTGCAGCCAAATCAAAAATATATTCCTGCCATGGAGATTTTTTCCTTCCCAGACAAGTAAGACCATTTGATTCCCAGCACACCCTCAGTCTGTCACATTCCTGAAACCTGGAAGTGCCAGCAGTTTTTACATAGGCTATAGTTACACAGTAACTATCTGTATATATGAATAAATCACTATAGAAATTAATCGTGTATAACAGCATACAGATTCAGCACTGCTGTTGCCTGATGCACATCTGGGCTCATGAGGCAGTGGATCAATCCATTTTCGACTTTTTAGAAGGTTTTTTTTCCTTGCACTTCTGTAATTTTAGTCATCTAATACAATTTAAGGTAAATAGAAGCACAAGGGATTTTATTCTGTAGTACCAGGGTGCGTGTCTTTGAATGCATACTGGTGTTTCCCACCTTCCTTAGTGAGAAATATCCTTGCCATGTTACTGCAGTAAAACAGACCACAGACGCTATAATGACTGGTTATGGTACTTGCTTTCCAGGGTCAAAAGGTGGGTCTGTACATTGTGCAGTATTTCTGCCTTCGTAGTACTGAATAAATATTGTACTCTTATTGGTGGCTTGTTTTAGTTGTAATAAGTTGTAACAAATAAGTAATGCTTATTTGTTCTTGTGCAGTCAGTTTAAAGTATTCATTTGAAACTTCTTTTGATCTGTTTTAGGTTCGTTTTCTGTCCGATCTTGTGAATTGTCATGTGATAGCTGCACCTTCGATGGTAGCTATGTTTGAGAACTTTGTGAGTGTGACACAGGAGGAAGATGTACCCCAAGTAAGCAAAAGATCTATAAGCTCCTCTAGTGTTGTTTTCACATTTTTTCTGTGTCGTTGTTTCTGTTCTTACTCATAGAATAGGGAGGTTGTAGAGATAGCAAACTAAATGGACTATCGTGCAATTTCCTTAACATGAGTAAAAGGAGCCTGTGGCAGTTAAGAAATACATTCATACAGGAAGAAAGTATGGTCCTTTATAGTGAAGTAGCTGAAGTGAATTTATTTTACTTTGTTCTTGTACTTTTGTTCTGCTATATCAATAATCTGCAGGACTGTGAAAGTGATAGCATTTTTTAAGTCTGCTTGTCACAGTTCAAGTTAAAAATGGTACATTTCAAGCAAGAATATGTATTTTTTATAGCTTGCCAACGCAGTCTTTAGCTACTGGTCTTAACATCCTCCCAAAATAATAGTTTTGCTAATGTTTTAATTTAAATTAAAATGAGGTTTGTGTACAAAATCTTTTGGATCTTACTTGTGTGCTTAGATTTCAGTATATTTCTCTCCTATAGGTACGATGTGACTGGTATATGTTTGCATTTCTGTCATCTTTGCCTTGGGTCGGAAAGGAGTTATATGAGAAAAAGGATGCTGAAATTGATCGTCTGTTGTCTCAGACTGAAAGCTATTTGAAGTATGTTGTAACCCATTAAAAATACCGTGTTCGGTATCTGTTCAAGTACAGATTAATAGCTTTGGTTATTGCTCACTTAAAAGTACTCTAACTCAAAAGTATTCAGACCTCACTTAGGTCTGAACCATTCTGTGGGGGGAAAAAGAACCCTGGAAATAGAATAGGTGGAGACATACTTGTATTTGAAAAGTTTTATTGTCTTGAATCATTCTAGGGTATGTTGAAGGTCTTATTCTGCTCATGCTGGAGCAGCTGCAGTTGTAATTGTGCTGTGAATACTGATAGGTTGTTGCTTTACTGCTCTGCAGTGTGACTGCTTTCTGTCTAGGTGTTTCAAGTTAACATTGGTGTCAAGGTATGATAATAGAGATATTTCAAGTAGTCACAACCCCGGTTTTAATGCTCTGTAGACCTCATCAGCTAAAGAGAAGAAAAATAGTAATACACCTGCAATCAGAAAAAAATTCTGCCCTAAGTTAGTCTTTTAAGGTTTTCTTTCCTGTGTAAACAGACGCCGCCAGAAGATTCATGTACCCATGCTGCAAGTTTGGACTGCTGATAAACCACATCCACAAGAGGAGGTGAGTGGACTTTGCATTGCATTCTTTCAGAAAGTTTGAAAAACAGTTTTCTACTTTCATCATTACCTTTTATCATTAAATTAAAAGATACCTCTAAAAGCATTAATGCTTTAAGTTGTCTCCTGTTTTGTCATTAATTCTAACAAGTTCTACATAATGAATTCTCTTCTAAGTCTTGGGCCTAAAGATAAAGAGTATGGGGTGAGTAGGAGAGTATTTTGCTGACAGGCTTCTGAGGATATGTTGTGAAGTGAGGAATGGTGGTAAATTGTAGCATTTGTTTTGGAATTGCAGGTACACAGCTTCATGTTAAAAGGACCATTTTGAGAAGCAGAATGTAACTCCTTACTTCACCCATAATGTTTTCTCTCTGCAAGAAAGAAATCTCTGTAGTGGCTTTGCTTTCTTAGCTCTAGGAAGTACTAAACAAATATGTAGAAACTGTATGCAGCAGTTACCATGCCATCTTTCACAATTAATCAAAAGATATTGGAGGGGGAAAGGTGATATCTTGTTAGTTTGTGGTGGGATTTGCCTTCCCAGATATTCTTGGCTTTTTTTTCTTTCCACTAAGTTTGAGGACAAACTTAGCTGGAAGGTGAGATTTAAACTGATCTTCTGGGAAGCTTTGGAATGCTTGCATTTTGTTCCCTGTTCTGATTAGATCACAATCTTAATATTTGTCGTCTTAATCATAATTTGGAGAGATAGGCTGTTTGATCTGTCAACATCAGTGTTCTTCTGCCTGCCCAGTATCTGAGTTTCCTTATTTAGTTCAATGGAGGAGAGATTAGTGGAGTGTGTTTGGGACTGTGTGTTATCCAGAGTACTGTAAACATGCCTGTTTGCTACCCATTTTGATAATTTGTGGTTTGATAATGTCAGTAAGTGCAAAGCACTTCCATGTAAAGACATTTCTTGCACCAGTTATGAATTGAAACTTTAGTCAGTAAGGCCAGGGGCCTCTGGAGTTCTTGGAACTCCTTTTAGTAAGACAGTAGCTAAACAAAGCAAGGCTATTGCCAGTTGCACAGGTGTCTGTGCCATCTCAGGGAGAATGCTGGGACTCACAATTGTGTTGTAAACCACGGCAAAGGTATTTTCTATTTGTCTTGAATGTGCAGTAGCTGGCAGTTTTGATTGCTCTGGGAGCAGCATGGCAGTCCTATGGAACGTCATTCCAGTTTTAATGGAATTGATATTACGTCTGTTTTAGTGCCACCGATGAGCAGTGACTGAAGTAATGTTCACTGCTGTAGTTTTGCTGGCAGATTCAAGTAATGGCCATCATGCTTAGACTCCTGGGCTGCCTGCTGGTGTTTAAAAACCTGCCAGCAGTTAAATTTTACAGACACAATGTAGTGTGGAATTAGCTCTGGCATTTAGAATTCTTAAATTATTTCTTGGTTTACTGAATAAGCAGTTTAGGAAACTGTTTTTGTCTGAATGGAATACAGAATTTAAGTAGTACACTTCTGATGGTTCAGGGAGCTGCCAGCTTTGTTACAGGATTCAGCACACCTGATTTTTCTCACCCTTTTTCCTTCAGTATTTAGACTGCCTTTGGTCTCAGATTCAGAAGTTGAAAAAAGACCGTTGGCAAGAACGACACATTCTGAGGCCCTACTTGGCTTTCGACAGCATTCTTTGTGAAGCGCTGCAACACAATCTGCCTCCCTTCACTCCTCCGCCTCACACCGAAGATTCAGTGTACCCGATGCCAAGGGTTATTTTTAGGATGTTTGACTACACAGATGACCCTGAGGTATGTGATTGCTGGGGGGGGGGGGGGGGGGGGGGGGGTTCCTGCGGAAACCAGCATACACTCGCTTTGGGAGGGTGAAGGCTGTGCCTCTCTTGAGGGGCCTCCTCTGAGGGGAGCGATGGCTTCCCCCCACTCCTGCACCTCAGCGCCAGCAGGGCCTGCCCGAGCCTGGAGAAGCCCTGTGCTGGCAAGGCTGGACCTGTTCCATGGTGGGCACACTGTGGGAAACCTGGCCTGGGATCTCATCCCAAGTGTCCAACACGCGGGGGGGGGGGGATGGTGAGGGGATTCCTGAGGCAATATTGGTCAAAATGTGATGTCCCCTCTCCCAGGATAGTGAGTGGTTTGAAGACTGGCAGCAGTTCTGCTTTGGTACTTCTGCAGAAATTATCTAGGTGACCGAGTTACCAAACAAAGTAAATCTATGAGGAGCAGAATTTAGGGAGTGAGATGTTATGATGCTTTTGCTTAGAATGACAACGTTGATTGAATTCTCTAATGTCTCTAGTAAAACTACACTCACAGAGTTAAGACTTTACTTCCATAAAGTCGGTGACTTGAATCCTTTTCCAAGCTAGGTATTTGTCCTAATTTTTAAAGGCTGTTGTCTGCTCCTGTGTTACAATTTGTTGATGCCCATTGCGTAACAAAGGGCTGCTTAATTGGGGTGGGTGAAAGATCCATCTGTCTCAACACTCTGCCTCCAGCATTGGTCAACAGCAGATATATAGATAAAAATGTATAGGAAGAGAATACGTACTGCTTTCCCTGAGTGTTTTTATACCTCCCTTTGCTTTAAGTTTGCTGCCTTTTACCTTCATTTATTGGCCCCTGGTTTTGTAGTGAATGAGACTGTGGTCAGGTATTCTTTCCCTTCTCTCCTGGCCATTCCTGGCTTTATTTCTTTATCAAATTCCAGCTCAACTGTGATTTTTTTTCCAGGCTGCATGATGGCTCCATAGAGCAAAGGAAGAAGTGGATGCTCCATGAAGTTACTATAATTATGTTATCTAATTTTGTTCCCATTTCTTTTTGTAATGAGTCTGAGTATTCATTTTGTTTTAAACATCAGTCTGAGGTTTGTGTGGAACTGTGTCACACCAGCTTCTCAGTTCTGAAGGATACAGGGCAGCTGAGACCTGACTGTTTGTGTGGAAGTTAGACTATTTTTTCCCCACCTGTAAATGTATGTAGGATAGCTTGCTATCTGTAGTACCACTGCATTAGCAGTGATCTTTCAGGACTCTTAATTCTTCTTTTACCAGGGCCCTGTCATGCCTGGCAGCCACTCTGTTGAACGATTTGTAATAGAAGAGAACCTTCACTGCATCATCAAGTCCCACTGGAAGGAGAGAAAGACTTGGTAGGAAGAGCTTAGCACTATGGGGCTCTGGTGCTTTTTATATGCTGCTGGCTTTGATGACATTGGGAATATGCAGAGTCCTTCACTGGTTAGGCAAGAGCTCAAGATTTATGCAAAAACTTTCCTAGAGCATTTGATGAACTTGAATTACCTCATTTAACTATATTAAAACTGTTATCTGGAATACTGTGGGTCTGCAATATCCAGATAATGGAAAGTCTGTATGATCCAGGGGGACAGTAGCTCCTTGTGAAGGGAATTCCTTGACAATACAGAAAGCGCTGCAAAAAATACGCAGACATGCCTTTGCCTTCGTGGGAGCGAGGTGGAGAGTGTGGTTGTGTTACGCTTTCTGGAATTTTGAAGCAGCTGATTTGTTGGGGCAGAGTGAGCCTTGAGCTGGTTCATCTGCAGATGGCTGCACTCTGGTGTTTATGAACATCTGCTTCTTATTCCTCCTTGTTGCGTTCTTCTTCTTGGGATTACCTGGCAGAGGTAATTGAGCTCGCACTGAGGAGTCATTGCAGGGCCAGTGGATTTCATCAGTTTGAATTCAGCCATGGAAATTCATGCCAGGAAGCAGGCGGGGCACTTTTCTTCATTTCTGCGTGAGCAATATTTGATGTGGGTAATTAACAGCTGAGTTGGGTTGACAGAAGTAATTGGCTGTGTCATGCTTCCAAATGAAAACCACCAAAATTTGTATAGTATGGAAAAAAATGGGCAGAAACAACTTTTTTTGTTGGTGGCATGTGATAAAGATTTTTCAGTTGCAGCTGTTTGAATCAACAGAAAGTACAAATTCAGGGTTGTTGTGGTTACTGGGATAGTCTGTTAATTCTCAGAGGAAAGTAAAAGGCTACAGGGAGACACAAGATTTGCTAGAGAGGTAGAAATAAAATCAAGAAAATAGCAGTTGTTTGCTTTGTAACAATGATAGGTGATAATGAGCTGATTAAAAGATGAAGCATGTGAAGCCTGTGAGTTCTGTGTGTAACCCATAAGTTTAACTGTGCTTTTGAAGTCATTCTGAGCGTTGGTTGGTTTTTCCTTTTCATGTATGTATTCCAGAATTGCAGGTTACCAAGACTATTCATGCAAAATGTATTTTGCATAGTAGTATAGTGTTCAAGTGATGTAACTACATAGAAATAAAATACATCATTGCAAGTCATAGTTTACGCAATGCTGTTGTGTTCTGCCATCTCTGTTTTAAGTGTTCTATGGAATGATGGACAGACTTTGGAAGGATTGTTGACGTGTTTGTGCTGCTTTTGTGTGAACTCTTGCCTAGAACTAAGCATTTTCTGTAACTTCATTAGTTGATCTTTATATCACATTTGTTGTGTAAAGTTCTGAGCTCAATTTTATCTATGGTTTTGCAGCGCTGCACAGCTGTTGAGCTATCCAGGAAACAACAAGATCCCCTTGAACTACCACATAGTAGAGGTATGGATTTTAAAGATACCCTCTTTTGTAGCTCTGTTATTTCATGAGTAACACATCCCAGTTAGTTCCATGATAGGTCCATTAAATTACAGTTTGATTTGAGAGTCAGCCAGAACCCAGTTGAATTCAACCAATGGCTTTTAAATGAGTGGTTTATATACAGTTGAGTGTTAGTTTATGCTTTTTGTTGTCATTTAACTTCAGTACTTTGGTCAAGTACCAAAATTTCTTAGCACGCTAGTAGTCTAGGTTGGTGTTCTCAGACTTTTGAAGTTTTATATATGATGCTTCTAATGTATCACATAGTCTGAGAGATGGCTACATTTGAGTCCCTTTTAGTTTAAAAAAAATTGAACTAAAACACAAGAGGAAATGGACACAAATTGGAATACAAGAAGCTCCATTTAAACATAAGAAAAATCTTTGTTTACTGCGAAGGTTATTAAGTAGTGGAAGAGCTTGTTCAGAGAGGTTGTGGAGTCTCTATCCTTGGAAAAGTCCAAAACTTAACAGAACACAGCCCCGAGTGACCTGCTTCAGGTGATCCTGCCTTATGCGGGGGGTTTTTGACTAGATGATCTCCAGCCAAATGCAGCCATTCTGCATGGTTTTAGGTTTGGATCTTCTAAATAATTTTGTTCTACTGGCCCTGAAAATAACTTGCAGTGAAATAGCGATGTGCTTCCTCCACGTCATCCTCCGTATCAGAAAATTTTGAATAACTGTAATATGTATCAGACGAGCAGTCTAGGTTTTCTTTTGCTGCCTCTTCTCAAGGGCCTATTTTCAAGATGCAAAACTGTATAAAACTTCATTAATTTCCATCAACAGTTGAAAGGGATTAAGAGATTTCAATAATAACGGCAACTTGTCATGTAAAGGCTTTATGAAGAAGTAACTGTAAGTAGGAATTTCAGAGCTAATTATAACAAGAAATAAACTTACGTTGAAGATTTATCTTAATAAAAGTAGGATTGAGAATCCCTATTGGCACCAAAATGCCAAATATTCTGAATGCTGTTAAGTTACAGTACTTCTGGTGAGCTTGTTCATTTTGTACTCTGAATTCAGGACAGAGGAATCTTAACAGTAACTTTCTGCCTTAACATCAAAGTATCTTAAGTGGTCTTATTGTCAGTATCTTCAGGTGCTGTGTATGGATATATGGCTGTATGCTTTATGCTCAATTGTACATTAATGCCAATAAATAGTTACTGCAATACCTGATGAAATGAATTACCTAAAGGCCCTAGAAAGTCTTGGATTCAGAAATTTGTAGGATGTGAAAATAGCAAAGAGTTGTGTAAATGAAATTACACAAGAAGTGCAAGATTGCTGTATAATTATTTTTTTTACAATTGCTGTAATAATTTACTTTTTCTTGCTATTTTGAGTTATTTTAGAATATTAGCTTCATTACTTGTCTATGACTGCTTACCTTTAATGAAGCTCCAGAGTTTTTAAGGCTTAGCGTGCTTTTTTCCACATTTGTTCATTCTGCTTACTACTGCTCCCTTGTAAGGTCTCTCTTAACAGTCAAGTTGGTGTTATGTTGCCTTAAACAACAGTTTAATCTGTGAAATTTCACTAACTTTTCCAGTAAGTCACAGAACTGTAGAAATAATACCACCTAACAAATAAAGGAAAGTGTTATTTAAGGTTCAGAACATAACGGTTAGGAAGAAGTAAATGTAGCCCGAAATGTACCTTCCCAAGTATGCCTACTTTTAAGGTCCCCGGGGCTCCCCGTCATAGTTTTTCAAGCTGAGCACAGAATGCTACACGCTATCTGGAATCTGTGCAAAACACTGAAATGAAAACAAACACTTTTCTCTCAGTAGCTTATTAGAGGCACATGTGTGGATACTTCTGGTAGCTGTGAGCAGGGAATGCCTGGGCAGTGGCACTGGCATGTTGGACTGCTGTGCCCTGATGGGCTTCTGCAGCTTTTGGTACAAATTGCACTCGACAGAGGTCAGACATTCAAGTCACTGATGTCCTGATCTTTCTTGTGGCTTTGTTATTTTCGCAAATAGTTTGAATAGTTTGAAACACTTAATCTGAATGTTTGATAACAAACATGGGATGAATATCACAAACGCAGTTTTGTGCAGTAGCTCAATGTTGATCATCCAGTTGTTTCCTATCTTGAGAAAAGGAGGAGTTTTCTATGTAGTGGGGTCCCCTCTACCTTTTTGCTCTATCTGTCTTAACAGTGCCTCCAAATTACACTGTTTCAGAAAGGTTCTCCGGCTCCTTATAGTCTCTTCATGCTTTCAAGTCCTTCCATAGAATGAGTTTTAATCAACGTGTTTTCATGTGCTGTTTGTGCAATCTATAAATGGATGTTGGTTTCTTAAACTAGTAAGAGGATTTTCTAAAGCTTACTCATTTAAGCATCAGTTCTACTGTGTTTATTTGGAAGTTTAAAGAGGAAATTGACCAACCATAATGAATCAAAGTTTCCTGATTCCTTTGATGTAATTTAAATGAGAAGGGCATGCAGAATAAACAGAAACTCAGATGAATGATGCACAATGATGATCTTTTGTAGCCCTTAAAGATTGATCTTAAAACTCTTATTATAGGGAATCATGAAAATAAAAACACAAGTGATCACTGCAGGATTGTTTTCAGTTTTCTTAGAAGGATCGTCTGCCAAGGGGTGCTGAGCATATATATTTGTTATATGAAATGCTGGTTATAATTTTCAGTTGAATTGTGAGGCTTCTTTTATATAAGTTTCTGTACAGGAGAAAAGAGGACATGATGGAAAAGATATAGATATAATTCTAATGCAAATAGACTTTGATACTAAATGCTTAGGCTTCATTTAATATGTTTAATATATATATTATTTAATAGGATCAGATGATTTCTGCTTTTCTCAGATCATGGGGTAGCACTGTAGTAAGTTATATTACAACTATGCCCATATTTACAGTTACCTGGTGTATTTGTTAGACATAATAGGTGTTGTGTTGGTATGAAATAATAAGGGCAGTTAGAGTGGACTGTATTAGTACAGCATAGAGTTACCACTACCTTCTTAAGTTTGTCTCTCTTTTCCCAAAACATGCATTTGACATAATAAGATGGGCCTTTTGGCGACTGTTGTTGTTAAACGTTGGTGGCCACTATGGTGGAGCTGAGGGTCATGCAGGCAACATTGAACTGTGCTCTGATTCTCTGCCTTCCTCTCCTACAGGTAATATTTGCAGAACTGTTTCAACTTCCATCTCCACCACACATTGAAGTCATGTACACAACACTTCTGATTGAACTGTGCAAACTTCAGCCTGGCTCTTTACCGCAAGTTGTATCCTTTCTGTGCTGCTGGAGACCATTTTTTAAATGCAGTCTTTATTTTGTTTGCTCTATAGATGACAGGATAGCAGTAAATACTAGCAGTATTAATATTTTACAGCAGCTGCCTGAAATGTTTACTGTAGTGCTGACATGAAGGAACAGCCCAGCCCACTTAGCACAGGTCTAGTGAAATAGGCAAGACTCTTCAACTTTATGGACAATGTTTTGGAACTTCCTCTGACCTTTGCAAGAAGGGCTGTCTTGGTGAGGGGATAAAATACAATACTCCTGTTTGTCACTGCTGCCTGTTGGTTTTGTCTGAACACCGTCTGACGTGGTCACAGACACATTAAAGGCTGAGAAGGAAAGGAAGTTAGAGACTTGATCTTTTGTTCTAACAACTGTGTGAGTGCTTCTACTCTTTTTTTAGTAGGAAGTTTAGCAGATGATTTAGAGGAACTTGCCTGAGTTCCCACTCAGCGTTGCCACTATGAGCATTCAAAAGGTCAATCATCATCTGTCAGCTCAGACAGGGTAGCTAAATTCTGAGGAAGGAGGCGTGACTCCCAGCTAATTCTGGCTATTACATTGCCCCTTCTTTGCTGCCATTTTAGATCATGTTAGATCATCGTTTAAGATCAAGCTACAGACTCTGAGCATGGAGGCCAGTTAACAGATGTCGGTGCACTGGTAACTTTGCCCAAATTTTCATTCTACTTCACAATACTACTCGCTGTCTGCAGATCACATAACCTCAATTACTAGAGCTAAGTCTGTTTCTACAATTGGGTAGACAGCTATGCAGAAAGTTTTTAATGTTGGTAAGGTCACCGTAAGAAGGATAAAGCCCTAATTGGGTAAAGTCAGTGTAGACAAACTTTCTTAGGCCTTCAGTGATGATCAGAGACTGTTTGAGGGGAAGCTTCGACATCTGACTTACCGAGTACTTTTCTGTTAGCCTTAATAAGAAACTTTCAGCTTGCACAGGCCACAGAAATGCTCTACATGCGTTTGGATACAATGAATACAACATGTGTGGACAGGTAAATGTGTTTTGGAGATGATGGAAAAATATTCCTCAATATTCAGTGTACAGGAAAAATGAAAAGGCTATGGAAAGAGTAGTTTGAAATCAAAAGGTTTTCTGGGGCTCTGGCTTTGAGCAATCTGAAGAGAAGGTGGAAGACTGACTGCTTTCCTCTCCTTCCCACAAACACTCCCCAGGAGGTCACAAGTCTAGCTGCCTGTACAGGGCAGTTAAGATTGGTGACAACTTTTCCCTGTTGAAAGCTGTTCATAGTTGCATAGTACTCCGTTGTCTGGTGCTGTGCCTGCTCCCTGGTGGTCTGTGAGGCGAGGTGGAAGTGCAGTTAATGGTGTACGTGCCACCCAGAGGAAGAGAGTGGTGGTGATTTTGCCCTTTGAGTGAAGTCTGCATTGTGTAGGACAGCTGTTAGTTACTCACCAAAACTGTGAGTTTCACATTAAGTTTACATTTTAATTGTTAGTTTAATAGGTCATCTCTTTGTATGAAACAATGGAAGATGGCAGGCTACTTATCCATAAAAGCTTCTTTCTGATTCTGCAAACTTGGTGATGTGTATCTGTCAACTTAAATACCTGTTTAACGCTGTAATAGCTTTAGAGTTTAGGCTTGCCTTTGAAAAGTAGAATGCATTTATAAGAAAATCTCAACTGAAAATTTTCCTGCACTTCTGGCATTTAATGGAACTTTCTTTTTCTTTTAATAAAGATTTATTAACTGGTTTTCTCACCACTTGAGCAACTTCCAGTTCCGCTGGAGCTGGGAAGATTGGTAAGTTTCCCTCCTTTTGATTGGAATCTGGTATTGCAAAAACCTTAATATATCTAGTTTATCCAGGAAGTGTCACAGCATAATGGCCCTGTTAATTGCTTTCCTCCAGCTCTTTAGAGAGCTTTCTTAATCCATTCACCACCACTTGGTGGTAGATTATCTTGATAATCTCTTTAGTCCCTGTATTGTCCCTGGTGAACTTTGTGATAAATCTCAAGCCAGTGTAAGCATTCCCTAAACAGGGGAAGTAGAAACGTGATTTAGTTAATTTGTCCTATGCTCTTGGTAGCAAGTTTTCCAAAATGATTCCCCAGTTTACTTTTAGCGGTTTGCTCTGACTCTGTATCCTCTATTCATTTAGTAATGTTGGTCTCTCTACTACCCTAAACCCTTCATTATAACCTTTATCCTCAAGAACTTGTGACCTGTTTCTGCCAAATCCTAGACCCTGAATTCCAGCAGAGCTGGCCCTGTCGCCAATTCTTACCGTGCCAAATCTTAAACTCACATTTCTACTAGGAGCTTCCTGGACTCTCATCAGTGTCTAACCACAGGTTCCCCTGAGCTTCCCATTCCAGGCACTCATGTAGCAAGAGAGATCACCTGAGGGTTAAATCCTCTCTACAGTAACTTCTGCAGTTTGCTACTATACATACTTTCCATAGTTGATCTGCCCAAGTGTCCTTGTGGAGAGGCATACAGATCTTCTTGTGATACGTTTTTGTAGCTTTACTTAAGTTTGTTGGGTTGTCCTCATCTGCAGTTAAATGCTTACTGGCTATCCTAGTGTGCATCCATGTTGGCTAACCTGGCAGCAGTCTTCAAAGAGCTGGTTTTGGTTTGCCTGGATGTTCCTCAATGGCAGTACTTCTGTGAGTTTCTCTCACAAGCTGCCATTTTTCACAAATCTCACAGTAGTTGAAACTTCTTTATCTGAAATGCATCTGAAATCAGCATCTGAATTTAAAAATTCCTGTGAGGAGGAACAGGCTATGAGATCATACCAGGTTCCTTTCCTAAGGAAAAGGAAATCAGCTAACCATGAGCACAAATTATTTTTAATCTGGTGGGGGAAGGGAAGCTACTTGAAAATATATTACACAGAGATGAGATTCCAAGAATGCTAATGGCCCATAAGGAAATAGTGATAAACTCACTCATTGTCTTGGAATTGCCTACGCTGTAAAACTGTGTCAAGCCACCCCAGTTATCCTTAGACCAGGATTGTTCTGTACGTATTAGACCAAACCAAAAAGAGACTAAAGCACAAATTCTTTTGCTAAAAGCTGTCATATTCTGTCCTCTGATAGGTCAGATTGTCTTACTCAGGACCTTGAAAAGCCCAAACCCAAATTTGTGAGGGAGGTTTTGGAAAAGTGCATGCGGTAAGTAAGATCTGTTGGTAGTTGCATTCAAGGTAAAGTTGATCTTTGCTTCTGGAATATTGTCCGATTCCGTTTCACTTTACTCTTGTCTTAGGTGTCTCTGTTCTTATAGTCCAGTTTCAGTTAAGAGATGAGTGCTGTTTGTATGATTTTAATCTGGTTTGCCAGTTGTAGGACACTTTAAAGGGAGGGAGAAACGGGAGCAGATGGCAGTGAGCTGTCTATCCTAGGTGTGCGCACCTGTAGTTACAAAAGACATGCTTCACCATAGGCATGGAAAGGAATAGAGTTTAGACAATATTCCTGGAAAGTATTCAGCATTCACAGAAATGGAGGGAACTGATCATTACTTATGTTAAAACTGAGAATCTAATCGTGATTCTTCTAGTTACCTCTAATGTTCACTGACCTTAAAACAACCAACCCTCCAAACAAAGAAACAAAAGCCCTGAACCTAATGAGTATACAAACAAGGCTGGACTTAAAATTGTTGAGGTAGAGGGGAAATAGGAGAGAGAAAGAGCAAAGTGTTCAAAAAGCCTATATTACTCAGCATCCTACATGAAAACATTCATCTGTTTTCAGGTGAATTCAGTATAGGAAGTGGGAAAGTATTGCTCTGCAGAATGAATGCAGTTTTTCTGTGCTACTTTTCAATTTCACTGAAAACTCTCGTAGCAAAATTAAGCCTTTGTGGGAGGGAAATAAGTTGGAAAGTAAAATGAAGATGTCCAGTTTAAATGTTTTCTTCTGCTTTGAATAACAACATCCTAATAGTTTTCTGCAGCACATCTTAGGTTTTTGCACAAAATTTGCTACCAGTCAGACTCTTAAATCTTCACAAGCCAAATTAATTGTATAGGGATGAAACTCTAACATCAGGAAGTTCAAACAGAAAGCATCTTCTAGTAAGTTTGGTTTACTTAGCCCTTAGTAGCCGGCAAACTACCATTCTGTCGTATAAACATCCTGATTTTTGTTCTGTGAAAGTTAAATACAGGAAAACCATTGTAAAGTAGTCACTTTAGAATTAGCCCTGGTATTGCTTCCATTTTAATTGTACTGCTGTGAAATATGTTATTTCCAGACTCTCCTACCATCAGCGAATAATAGACATTGTTCCTGCAAGTTTTTCTGTCCTCAGTCCTGCTAATCCAGTGTGCATTTACAAATATGGAGATGAAAGTAATAGTAAGTATTAAAGTTACTGAGGGATCAAGTTGAAGAAGACAGTGTTTCAGAGCAAGGAAGCACAGTAGATTGACTGTAATATCAGTTGTCTTCATAAAGAAGAATACAGATGAAATAAATGTTTGTTATTTTCATATAGGTAAATATATATTAATTGCTCCCATGAAGTATATTATGCCTGGATCTCTGTAGTGCAACCCTCTTTGTTACTTCATGAAGAAAAGAAAATCCAGATATATGAAGTTACTCTTGCTGAGGTGGTTGTGGTGTTGTGCAGCCGGAAGTCTAAAATTGAAAAATTGTCTATTTTTCCCTATTTGAGCACAATACTATGCAAAAGTCAGCATATGAGGTGACAGTGTGGCTTTATTTTTTGAACTCCGTGAAGCAGTAAAGATTTTACCAGTAAACTTGGTTTAATGAAGCATACAGAGGCAGCAGATGATGTGAAGAAGGTAGAGAGATACTTTACTATTCCTTTGGTTACTCAGTATAAAGACAGTCCTAGGCATAAAAGTGTGATCATCAATGATACTGTGAGGAAAAATAAGGAAGTATTGTATTTTTAGGAAACTGGTGGAAGCTGAAGTAGAGCTTTAGATGGGAGAGTGATGACCTGACCTTAGTTCTAAAGGTTCTTCTGAAAGTTTTGAATTTAAAGTGAAGACCAGGAAATGAGTGGAGCCATTTTATGGAGTAGCAATGTGGACAATGATATTGGAACCAGCTGGATTTAGGTGTAGCTGGGAAATGTATTTGTTTCTCTGAGAGGCAAACTGATGTTAAAAATACTCACTTGCCTTCTACATATTTTTTTGACCTCTTTGCTTTTGTTTAGGGTCTCTTCCCGGATATACTGTGGCACTCTGTTTAACAATTGCAATTAAAAATAAGGCCAGTAATGATGAAATCTTCAGCATTTTAAAAGATGTGCCTAATCCAAACCAGGATGATGATGATGGTAAGATACATGCTGTTAGGCTTTGGTAGGCCCTAATATCTTTTGTGTGTAGACCGGTCTACCGTCCTTTGGAGCTATGACTGTGGTGGTTAACAGAACTGTACACTTTCCCTTCTAACAGTTGGTTTCAATTTATCAGTAAATTGAAGTAATGCATCACTGTTAGAGTTTTTTGTATACATCTTACATGCAGAGGCAGGCCTGTTTTTCTTAACAGAGGTAACCTGGTGCTCGAGGTGTGGGTTTGTTTTTTTTTTGTGATTATGGATAGAGGTACCATGAAAGAATTTAACATTTGCTTTCTCTTCAGCAACAGAGTGCAGTTCATGCTGATATCCTTACCCCTGGGCCTCAGTGCTTGTGCCCTGTCTGAGAGTGTCCTTCACCTCGGTGTAGTCCCACGACAGAGAAGATAGCCAGCGTGCTGGCTATAGTCCTCAATAGATGCAAACTCACAATGGGACTCTGCTTTGCAGCCACAGACAGCATTTACTCCTAAAGCCTGTGTGTTTTAGGGAGTGAGAAGCATGAGACAGAGTATTAAGAAGTGATCTTTACAATGGGGACAGCTTCAGTATTTTCTGTAACGTTTGCAAGTGTTCTGTTATGCAAGCAGAGAGCAGCAATGATCTGGTTTTTTGCCCTGGGATCCACTGTAATGTTTCCCAATTTGCTTTAGGCACCAGCCATTACTGGGTGCTCTCCCTCCTTCCTGTCCTCAGCTGCATTTAGCTGCAGCTAGAGGGGAGGGCTTGGCACCGTTCACCCCTAGTACCCATATTTGCTGTGCACACTTGCTGCACCCTTCTCTCATGTCATAAATAGCCAGGCTCTGGACCCTGACCATCCTCACCTTCCCCTCTCCTCATCCACTCTCCCTTCTTTATGGTCTGCCAGGCCACCAGCTTGATGCATAGCTCTGCAGTTTCCTTTGCTGTCTTTCTCTGTTGCTGTCCATCAGAGTTGTTATGTGTTGGTAGGGCGGCTGTGTCTCTGAGGGCTTCCTCACTGACCTGGAATTCTTTTTGCGTATTTTCTCTGTGGCAAAATGGGAGCCTGAAGATCTGTGCATTTTGGAAAGTCTTTACTAGCTCCCTGCTCAGCCTTGCAAAACCCTGTTGATGAAAACTATTTTTTTCTGAAATGAGTTAAAACTAGTTTAAAAATGAGTTTTATGAGTAGCTTACGTCCTCTACTTGAAGTACTTACAGTTTCAACTTTAAATAACTTGCAGATGAAGGATTTACCTTCAACCCTCTGAAAATAGAAGTCTTTGTTCAGACTCTGCTCCATCTAGCTGCAAAGTCTTTCAGCCACTCTTTCAGTGCCCTGGCAAAGTAAGTGTAATATGTGCATTATTTGGGGGCTTACAGAACTGTTTAATTCTGGCAGAGAAATGCATGATGAAAGAACTGGACTGCAAGCTTCAGCAGCATTTTAGGTGCTCCATAATGCAATATGATTAGGACAGTTAATGACACTACTTACTGAAGGAATATTAGTGTAAATGCTAGGTTATATATGTTAATTCAATTAACAGAAATTTATATATTAGAGCCAGGTGATGTAAATCAAACAAATGCGTTTGAATATTACTTCATTTTAGAATTACTCATTTGCTTATTATGGTGAGGAACAAGGATTTCTCCTTACATTTGATTGACTGGGTAGTTCCCACTGCAATATCTTCGACTATGAATATGACTCTAGAACAGCTACATTTGTATAAAAAATGAAGAAAAAAAGAAAACAGTGAACTTCAAAGACATCTGCTGTAAACTTATTTTATCTACCAAAGCACAGTAAAATCCATTCTAAAATAATTCAGAGTGCATCCCTTAAAGATATGCTTTTTTTACTGCACCTTTTTTAGCAACAAGAGATAAAAATAACTAATGTCTAATCCTGTGTGCTTTGGAGTTGCTCTTAAGTGGTCCTGATACATGAAAGGTAGTCACATGCATCTTAATGAGTTATTTTTCTTTCTGTCCTTAAAGATATATAACGCTGTTAGAAAAACATGCACTTGGGAGATTCATAGAGGCAATGTTGATAAGAATCTGTAGGTAGTAACCTGCAATCAGTAGTGCCAGAGCCAGGGTGATATGAATACTTAGAACCATGGTATTTTTGCTGCTGCACACCAGCAGTGGCAGCCATGAGATCAAAAATAGCCTCTTAACGCTTTATAGTTAGGTTATAATAAGCTGGGTTGTGAATGCTGAGTAGCAGTCAGCCTAACTCTGCTAAAAAAGAGGCTTTTAGCAGCATTTCCTTCAAAAAGGGGTAGATTGTATAAGTGTCTGAAGTTATGGAAACACATATCAATAGTAAGGTATAAGACTGGAAAGGCAGCAAATTTTGTTCCAGCTGTGTATAGCTAAGCAGATGAAGGATGAAAGTGCCTCCTGCATTTAAGAGTATGAGAAATGTAGCTCAGCTTCAGGGAGTAGGTTCACCACTAAGATATAAGTTGCTTTTAGGATCTGTCGTGTCTTTGTAGCCTGTTTTAGCTCAGGATAGTTACATTTTCTAGGGAATAGTTGTTCAAGAATGGCTTCAGATGGTAAAAAATTTTCTTTTGGCCAATCTAAACCATTTGCCCTCCATCTGCTGCTCTCTTGACCCAATCCCAGCACCTTCACTGACTACTTACATCTGTTAAAAGGTTTCATGAAGTCTTCAAAACGCTTGCTGAAAGTGATGAGGGGAAACTCCATGTTCTGAGGGTTGTATATGAGGTTTGGAAGAATCATCCGCAGGTAAGAGGTTGCAATGTCAAGTATCTTTGTGAGTTTCAACTCACAGAGGTCATACTTAACAAAAAAATGTTACGGTTTTCTTTATATCCTATAAAAATAACTTGTCTATTGTCATCTTACTTGAAGGAAAGTTCAGATTGTATTTACTGTTGTTACTAGTGCCTAAAATGAAGGCTGGACATAAAGGATATACCATCAGTGAGGCCATTTCTTCCTCAGAGTTCATTGAGGGAAAGCAAAGGCTGTTATTCTCAGATTCATACTATGCTGTTTGTTGTACAAGAGATTAACTCTTGCTAAAGTCATGTTTCTGTTCAAAATCAGAAAAAAAGTGTAGATGTGTAAATTGGAATAAGGTGTAGATCTTATATCAAAAGCAGGCCACGTTCTTAGGAGTGTGGAAACCTGGGGCGGTTTAGGGCTTTTTTTTTTTTTTTTCAGTTGCTTGTGAAAGCCATACAGTTATTCCACAAAGCTCGTGTTGGAGTCACTGTTGTGTGTGGGCAGAGTGAGTAGAGCTGCAGTCAGTGGCTGTTCAGAACAGATCAGTGTGACAGTGCCATGATCATGTTCATTCTTGAGCCGGAGGAAATAACACCCTAAAAGACCTATGAAAAACGCCTCAGTTGTTTAAGCCGTTCAGTTTCTTCAAAGCAGTTCTCTTCTCCCTCAGCTATCATTTTTCTAAAAATAGAAATTGTTAAGAATTCAGAATGCCTGCACTGTTTATTTGACATGCTGCTTACCAGTGTGTTTGTGTTGCACTTTATTGTGCTTGGAAGGGGGCTGTACCTCGCAGCTGCGCAGGCCAGGCTTTCAGAAGCGATGCCACTGAGAGCAAGGGGTAATCGCTGCATCTGCATCCCCGTTCCCTAGGGGAAAAGCCGAGCACCAAGAAGTTACCTATGCAAGATGTCACCTCTTTTCTAAGTACAGTAAAACCATCAAAAAGCAGGATTTTTAAAAATATATTAAACTTCCTATTCAAATTACTGACCTTGAAAATGTGACGATTAATCTGACCTACTTTTTACTGGCGTTTAACTAGATCAGAAAAAAATTACATTGCTTCAGTCTGATACCCGTTTCCTCTTCGTTCCTTTGCATTGCAGCATGACCAAACTGCAACTTTGAATGGAGGGTTCAAATTGGGATGGAGGTTTCAAACCCAAACTAAAGAGTCATGTTAGACTTTTATGAATAAATCAAGATCACTTTAAAAAATACCAAGTGCAAAAGTTAGGAAGGTCTGCTCTTCTACTTTGATCGTGGAACTTAAATTTTCCTCTGTTGTATTTATTGCAGTTCTGTCTTTTGCTTCTGGTCAAGCATTTTGCTTTTTCTGAGTCCATGGCCTCCCTGGCACGGAGAAGAAATGGTGCCTGGACAGCAGGACACTTGTCCAGGCTGTTTTCATGCTGCTCACTCTACTCCCATGTCTATGAGAATGTCCTTTGATTTGGTTCAGACTATCAGCCAGTATTTGCAAGACATAAAGTGCTAATGAGTGATCTATGCTGCAGATAGTGATTTAGCAATAGGGATCAGTAGTCCCTGGACCTGTAAGTAAGTAAGGATGTGGTGGTGACATCATGAAGAGAAACTCTGGGATGAAATGTTTTCCCAAAAACCCAGGTCTGTGTTTCTTGAAAGATCAGGTTCAGTAATCAGAAATTCTTCCTGGCAATAGAGAAAGACAAATAGAGCATAGGATGCTATCCTGGGACTTGAAAGTTGAGCGCTGATTCATTCAGTTATTTTAATTTTCCTTCCTTAAAAGGAGTTTTGTTACACTTCCTTATTTGACAATGGGTGGTTCTAAGGATATATGCAGTGCAGGCTGTGGTTCTTAGATACTGTGGCATTCAAGCACATGAGTAACTAAGATAAGCTGTTCTCCTGAACAGCTTGCAACTGCTTTAGTCAGTAACTCCTCTGCAGTTGCTGGCTAAGTTGCTTGCAACCTCCCTTAAGTATGTACTTCCTTTGGCTGCACAGTGCTGGCTTTCTCCTGAAATGAATAGGTCCTGTGGAGAAGAGCTTACTGTCATGTTTGAAGACTGTTGCGGTTCAAGGAAAGTATGCTAACAGTAGCTCCTTCTTTACGGTGATCTGACAGGTATATATGCTCTGGTCTGAGTACTTTGATGTGAAATACTGAGACTTGTGTCTCTGAGGCCTCACTTCCAACTATGATGCTTGTACTTCTTGCTTTTGTATGGAAGTATGTATGTTAACGAACATACATTGTTTTCACAAGAGGTAGAAAACAAAAGTAGGTTTTGTTAAACAAAATCAGAATGCTTTTAATGTAATTAATATAAATCCCCTAAGTTGAGCAGTTTTAGGCTAGGCAACCCAGCTTCCTAAAGTATTTGAAATTACCCAGTAGTATCACTAGCGTAGAGTTGCATCAGACCATCTCTGTTTTTGTGTGAGGCTGGAATACTTCACACAGATTGTGTGTGCAAGCCCTTTTCTTATTTTGAATGACTATCATGTCTTTTACAAAATACAGATGATTGCTGTGCTTGTGGACAAGATGATTCGGACACAAATTGTTGACTGTGCTGCAGTAGCAAACTGGATCTTCTCTTCAGAGCTTGCACATGATTTTACTAGGTAACAAGAATTTGTCTTCGGTTGTTATTTGTCTATTAATTACTATTTTAAGTGGCCAGTATATAGTTTAATCTATTAAAACTGACTAGTGGAAGAAAAAGGTACAATTAAGCTTTTGCTCCTTCTACAAAATACATACTTTAGTATTTTTTCTTTCTGAGTTGGCGTATGAAAGTTTACATGACGGTACAAGAATGTTGCTTTCATGTTATTTGGCAAGAACTGCCACAGCAGAACACCGTTGGGACTATTTCTAGACAAAGTCTGTTGCTCTGTGTTACGTAGCTACTAGCTTAATGTGGTCCTGGTCTTTGGTTGAGGTATTTGACTTGTACAACCATTGATTCATTGCTTGTTGAGAATGGGAGAAATGTTTGGTCTGAGAAGTCAGTTTGGTGTTAGTAATCTTGGGGTATCTGTATGAAATACAAAGTTGTTTTGGAAATGTACTGCAAAATACAGGAAAGAAATGGCTGTTACGCTTTCTTATGTTACAGGTATGCTTTCCTAAATGCCAAGTGTTTGCTCACTCTAGTAGATGTCTTAGATGATAGTAAATTTTTAAATTCCGCTAGATACATTTTTTTCTGAAAGAAACTACATTTAGTTCTCAGTCTTAGGGTGTAATGTAGCATTTTGGGCTTTGTGTCTTTCCTAGGTTTTATATCTGGGAGATCTTACATTCCACAATTCGTAAGATGAACAAGCATGTTCTGAAGATTCACAAAGAACTGGAGGAGACTAAGGCAAGATTGGCCAGGCAGCACAAAAGAGTGAGTAATTTGTTTGTAATTTTTAATTATTTTAAGCTAATGCATGCAAGCCTGCATTCTGTCAGACTGACATATGATTTTGGGAAGGACTGAATAAATATGTTTTTCAGGAAGCATATCTGCAGACGTGTGGTCGTCTTAGCACTAAAACATCAAAAACTGGGTGCATGTTCCCAGTCTGCCTTTCTAATGGCAGCTGTAACCTAAGAATTCAGTGAAATATTTGAGGGAATTATATATGTATTTGCTGTGTTCAAGCTTTCTGTCTCAAGTTTCTCTTCCAATACGAGCATGTCTTCCATGTGCCTTCTAATCTGGATTCCACTTTACTTTATTAGATAACAATAAGAACAGTTGAACATTATTTACAGTAAGTTCTGTAAAAGAATACTCTTGTGGCTTCCATGCAGAAGTGCACGGAAACAGCTATTTGCCGTTGGAAAGTTGGCTGTTACTGTTCTTCTGATGGATGCTGCTGGATTCTGACACTGGCATCTGTCACTTCCTTCTTCCAGCTTATTTTTTCTGAGTACCTTTGCACGACCTGGGTTCCTTTATACAACAAACAGATGAGCAAGTAGCCGCTGTTGTGTTCTGTTGTCCCAGGTGGGACAGTAAAATGGAGTGAGAGAGCGTTCTCTGTGGCAGCTGCAAAAGATGGGACCCAAGGCGGCGTGGCTGAATGCAATACTTCATCGTGGTAGAATGGTGTCAGTTGGTAGACATGTTGAGAGTTACAGAGAGCAAGAGAGAATTTCTATGTTCTTATGTAGTCTGTGAGTATGATTACCTGCATAAAGCCCCTAGCTAGCTAGAAAACCTTGGATGAAGTTAATGTCAGAATTCAGCACATGGCAGAGAGCCTGTTGATGGTTTTTCAAGAAACCTGCACTAGTTGGTCATTTTTCCAGAAGTTTCTGTTGAGAGGCCACTAATACCTCACAGTTTGGCAGTGTTGGTTATCCCAGGCCCTTCCTCTTGTTTTCTTCACTGCCAGCAACAGCCATCCTAGTTGCTTGCATCCTCAATCTGCATTGATCTGTGGTTAATAAATTCCCTTGATTATTGAAGACTTAGATGCAGTCATTGATCTTACTGTGAGGCAAAGAGCTTCTCTGGCGTCTCTAAACAAATACACCAGTGTTTTCATTTCTGTACTTGTCTCGTGCTGTGGCTCTTTATTACTGAGTACTTTAAATGAACATTGTGCCAGGAAGAAACATTTGTATGCAACAGTGAGTAGTTCTGCAGGCTGTTGCTCTGCTGCATGACCATTCCTTTTAGAGGAAGCGAGCCGTCAAGTTTTGATGTCCCCAGCATAAAGTGGATTGTCTTACTAAGGAAAAAGTCCAAGGCTTACATGCTTTCTCTTAGGTCCTATTGGTCCCTTAGCATTTTGAGTTCAGGAAACCTCTGTAGATGGGGAAAAAGCAAGTTCATACAGAGATAATAAAATTAAATTCTCACACTTGCTCTGGTAAGTTGTTTGTATTTTTTACGCTGATTCAGAGCTGTAACTATCTTCTGATTGTGAGTTTCATTTGCTACTCAGTAGGTGAGTTAACACATGGGTCTGTATTCATCACAAGTTGCACTTACTCCTTTTACAAATATTTGAAGTTTTGAGCTGCTAACTTACAGGTGTTTTTGCACAGAAACAATCCTATGAGACGGAAGCAATATCTATATTTGACTGTACCATAATCCATCAGATCCTGCCTTTCCTCCTATATCCCTTGTAGACTTGTGTAAGACTTTGTTACCTGAGTTCCCAAGTCTGGTACTTATGGGTATTTCGTGGTTTTGTTGGGATATTCTGTTTTGGATGTGAGACAATGAGAATATGGAATGTTCCTAATTAGTAGTTTGCTTTCCATGCTGACCCTTTGTAGTCTGAGAGCATCCCTTTTGATCACAAATATAGAGAGTTCCTACTTTAACACCATAGACTACAGTCTCTAGTCTTCCTTTTGTGCTAACCAGCCGGGTTCATCTGAGTTCTTGCACAAAAGTACTTTATTTTGTGGAGGTCTGAGACTTCAGAACTGTTCATTGAATGAATTACCTGCCCTGCTGCAGTGGACACAATCTTAAAAATCTACACTGGATTTTTTTTTCCTCTCCTTTTTTAAAAAAGCTGTTCGTTATCTGGTAATGATAAAGTCAGCAGGGTTATTACCTTTTATTGTGTTTCCACTGAATAAAAGAGTAGTAAATCTTTAAGCTTGTTCTGGTTTCTCTGAAACCTTGATTATTTTTTTCAGGGCTTGCCCCTATTGGCATTTTTCCTTCCAAATTTCTTTGCTGAACTACATTAAAAATGAAATACAATAGAGCAGTTGCTGCCCTTCAGTTGCTTTGCAGACCTTTTCACACGTGGAACCAAAGGGCATTAACGTTACCCACAGGTAGCCAGGTGGCTAGTGAGTATTGTGGTGTTGTCACTTACAGCGGGACAGTGATGATGATGATGATGACGACGATCGAAGCAGTGATCGGGAGGATGGACCACTAGAAGAGCAGATAGAGCGCCTGCAGGAGAAAGTAGAGTCTGCCCAGAGCGAGCAAAAGAATCTCTTCCTTGTTATATTCCAGGTAATGGTGGGCAAAGTCTCGTCTCACTGTCAGGTTTTACAGTTTCTGGATTTGTAAGCTTTTGGTGTCACTTGTAGTTCGGGCACCTTCTTGGAATAAGGCTACGGGAAGAGGTTGATGGATTTACTACGGGTTAGGTATGAATACAGATCATTCTCCTGGCAAAGGCTGCTTCTGAAGACCATCTCTTCAGTTTCAAGTGCCCAGGAACAAGGGAGTTCTGCTAGCATACAGTTTCCTGAACAACCAGAAGGAAACTGGATTTTATTTGCTTACTAAATTCAGTGTTTGCCATGCAAAATAGCTATTTTCAGATTGCTGTTCAAAGCTTCTGTCCCCCAGATCCTCTTACCTGAGGTTAGGAAACTGCTTTCATTTGGTGAGACTGAATTAGTATTCAGTGAATAGTTATTCATAATACTGAAAAAGTATTATTTTTTTTTTTTCCCCTCTTCTGCAGCGTTTCATTATGTTGTTAACTGAGCACTTAGTGCGCTGTGAAACCGGTGGGATCGATGTGTTTACTCCCTGGTACAAGAGCTGTATAGAGAGGCTGCAGCAGATCTTCCTGCAGGTGAGTTTGGGGGGTATGTTTGGAAGGCTGTGGGCCGGGAGTGCAGGAGATGGAGGAGCTTTGTGGCTGGAGAGCCCAGCACTCCATGGCAGAAGCAGTAGGTGGCAGCAGCAGGTCTTCTCCGAAAGCTCCTGTGGTAGGTGGGAACTCTGCTTCTGGCCACGTCTCTGACACAGCGTGGTGGCGTGTCTGGCCCTCAGTGGATTCCCACACCGTTGGTGTATGCTGCAAAAAGATACCCCGATGTGATTAGGATTTTTGCTGAGCCTCTCTTAACTGTGTGTTCATAGTAAGGGCAAAGTTGTGAGTGAACAAGAATACTGAAATAGACGTCTTCTAAATAAGCTGATGAAAATATTGCAGAATTCCCTTTAATGAGAGACATAAATACCTCTTAAAAATAACTTTTGAATTCTTGGCTCTGTATTAAATCAGGTAACAAGCACGGGTGGCTGGATGAAAGTGATAGTAATAGAAAGTTATACCTGCATGAGCAGAGGATATGGGAGTGGTGTTATAATTCTCCCCTGAGGTGAACCCTTCTCTGGTAGTAGACCTGGCTTCAGAGGAAAGCAAATACCGTGATTCTCCTAAGAGGTCTCTGCCGTTGCATGTATCTTGCACACAATTCAGGGTCCAGGAGTGAAGAGCTACAGGGAGCAGAGTGCTTCTCAAGGGAGGACTTCAGCATGTGCTTTCTTCTTGCCAGTCAGTAGTGGCTCTGCACGGTGCTTTCCTTGTGTTGTGGAAATGAGATTTGCTTAACAGTTTTGATGAAAACCTTTGTCCTGTGCTTCTTGCATGTCTTGACTTCTCTGCCTGTTCTTATATAAGGATAAATGAAAACAGTAAAGTTTTGTGTTTTGTTTTTTATCTGCCAGCATCACCAGATAATCCAGCAGTATATGGTGACCCTGGAGAACCTCCTGTTTACCGCTGAACTGGACCACCACATACTGGCTGTGTTTCAGCAGTTCTGTGCTCTGCAGGCCTGAGGATTCTTCAGGGGCAGACTCTTGTCTGCAGGACTTCCATGAAATGAATTTTTTCAATAGGAAAATGTGATATGGGGATGCAAGAAATTTTTTTGACTAAAACTGGCTTTCATGTGCTCATATATTAAAACAGTACTCTAACCAACAGCAAACTGTGTAAGCATCATAAGCCTTACAAGATACAACTGATAGGGGATAGACATGAAGTAAAGTATGAATTCTTATCGTTGTCTTCTAATTTGATTTTACTCTTGACTTTATAATAGTATTTTTGTTTCTCCCACATTGTTTATATAAAAATAAAAATCGGGCAAAAAAAACAAACAAACAAAAAAAAAAAGAGAACCCAAACAATAGAATTTTACCTATGCCTGGCCCTTAAATCCAAGGAATTGCAGAAATGAGAAACAGTTCATAGTGTTTTGTGAGTATGAAAGGGAATGCACCTTCTCAGTGAGCAGTGTGGTAAGCTCTCTAGTATGGCACAGGAAAAATGTCTTACCTTTGGGCGTGTGAAACACTTGAGTTAAGCTTTTAAAGTAGTATAGAGCATATGGATTTGTTTATTACCAAGCCAGCTAGATTTTCACCGTTTGAACAAACGTGGTTGTAATACAATTGAAATATGTTTTTTTAAATGTATTGTCTAGTGTCTTATTACAGTAGCTATAAACAATCGGTAGAGGAACTTCCTGGACAACTTGTGAAAAAGGCAATCCTTTCTGTGGGGTATGGTGGAAGAACCCTGACCCGCTCCCGGCAGCGGCCTTCGCTAGTGAACACAGACAGTAAGCGAGAGCTGGTGGAACAAACTTTTGACTTCCGTACTGCAAGCCTTGCCTGGGCTTTGGGATCTGCAGCCCCGGGTGCCAGGGGAGAGGGAAGGGCAGCCTTCATCTTGTTCCTTTGTTCCAGCCTGTAACTAGTCAGGCTGCCAAACCTGCGCTGGCGACAGGCCTTGCCATGCTGCCAGAAATCTTTCTGGTGATGATGGTGGATGATCTGAGTGCCCTCACCTCACCTGGCTTAGTAACAACTGCTTTGCCGTGGCTGTATCTGCTATAAAATGTGCTATAAAATGTGACAACAGCCTGTGGCTGCTGTGTCTTCGGAAAGCGTTTTGGTGCTAAATTAAGCGATTATCTCACAGGCGGCAACTTAAGACTGGGGAGACACAACCTGAGAGCAGAGTAGCCTTAGTCCTGAGTTTTGCGAACGCCACCACGGCCACCCCAGCGCGGTCGGTCCGTGTTGGGGTGAGCAGTGATGAACGGCAAAGACGCCGTCTCCGGGGCTCAGGTCCATCGGCGTGCAGTGTCCTTCCAGGCTGTTCATGGTCTCTTCCTTCTGCAGATGAATGTTTAAGTAACTTCATACCCAGCGCTATATTCAGTTTAAGCTTAGAAAGTGATGAGCTTTGAGTAATTTTGTTCCTGTACAAGTTTGGGTTTTTTCAAGTATTATACCTAGTAAGGCATTTCATCCATACATTGACCAATTGACCTCCTGATCAAGCGAGGAGGGTGAAAAATGGAACTTCCTACCTTGAATGTTGACATAAGTTTGTGTGTGGCCTATAGCAACCCAGTTTGTCCTCATAGACTTGGATCTGTGACTTCTGCTTTCTCTGCTGACCCTTTCTGATTTGACCGATCCCTCCATTCTTTCAGGGTATACTGTTAATTGTTGTAAACTGCTTTACGCGAGGGTTTTGTCAGGTATGCGCAGACTTTTTGCTTCAAATCTCTCTCTCTTAATGTTCTTGAGTAATCAAATAGGGGGTTTTGTTGGGTTTATTTTTAAAGAAACATTTAATACTGTAGAGGTTTTAATTGGGGTTTAATAGTTTTTTCACTGGCTCGGATCAGTTATCAGAGGTCTGATATTAACTAATGGTGGGGATCTAACTATAAATGTGACTTCTGTAAAACTGATAAAGCAGTTAGAAGTTGGAAACCTGTAACTTCCTCTGAGCCTTGATGAACGCGAGTGCTGGGGATCCAGTTGCAAATGCATAATCCTACGATTTAAAACCAAATAGTGATGTCTTTTGGAAGTGATTGGACTTTTATGGTGAGCCTTGGGCTTTGATTACGTGTCCGAGTCTGCTGGGCACCTTCCCCTCTCTGTAGGTTGCAGGGGCGTCCAGCTGGCTCGACGGGGAAACGGGTTGGCTCTGCAGGGGAGGAGGAGAGGCTTGCGTGGTGATACCAGCAGCTCACTGAAGCGTGAGGTGGCGGATAGCTGTAAAGATGCTGTAGAAACGTGGCGTGGTTGGAAAAAAAAAAAAAAAAATATATGCACAATTAAAGACAAAAATAAATGAAGGTGAAGCAGGTTGCCACCGGGAGTGTTTGTCCTACCTATTTTTGGGGATGGGGTGGGTGGGCAGCGGAGGGGTTGGGTTGTTTCCCCGGCGCTGATGGAGGTACCATGACTAAGCCCCCATCCGCCAGCGCCTGGCTGAGCTCACAGGCTTCCCCCACCCGGGGCGGGCGGGCAGGCTGGCTCCTGCGCTGGAAATTCTCCTTCCACACCCACGACACCACGCTACCTCCCCAGTCTCTGCCAGGGCCTGCCCTCCCGCCAACCCATCTGCTGGGCCTCAGGTGGCCCCGCGTCCTCCGCGCCGGGCGGGAAGGCTTTGGAGACCTGTTGATGGAACCATCACCTGCCCTTCCTTCCAGACATCTCTCCTCTCCCCCTCACATCTTCAGTTCCACCCCCCACCGCGGCCCAGGCGCCCCTCTGTCTCCAGGGTCCTCACCGGAGATCTGCCCTATTTACCATGACAAACAAACGCGGGGCGTTCACCCCTTCTTCCCAGCAGCATCCCCCAACCGCCAGCCGGGCAGATTTGCCCTCTGAAAGCACACACCATTCGGGGCCACTTCAGAGCCATCTGCATTGGAATGCTGCCTCCCCCGCCCCCCAAGGAGAGGTATTTGTCAGCCATTTGTAAATGAAAAGGGCCAAGTGTTAATGCCGAGAGTCACCTTTGTCTCTGGCTCCAAAGGGAGAGGACACCACCCCCAGGGCCCCTCCCCTGTGAGGCACGGCGGAGATGAGTCAGCACCTCCACGCAGCCTCCCTGGAGAGGGAGAATTCTCCTTTCATGGAGCCGAGTCTCCAAGCCCGGGCAGCAGAACCCGCCTTGCAACATGGTCTCCAACCACCACGGAGGAGGGGCTTTGCCCTCTGCCCGCCCACGGCAACGGTAACTGGAAACCGGGCCCCGGTTAGGAACAAAGCATGGAGCCTTCAAAGCATGGCTTCCCTTCCTCCTCCAAGGGAGGCAGGCCAGGAGTGGGAAGTTAATTTCATCAGGCATGTGAAGTAGAACGATACCAACTCATCTTCTGGCCTACAGCAGGGTACCCGTGTGCGCAATGGTTAAGTCCGTGCTACGTCCTACCCCAAAATCCAGTTTAAAAGCCAAAGCTTATCGTTCTGTGCAGAGCTCCCTACAATTGAGGAACGTCGTTCTTCACAGAATTTAGCCACAGCTGCTTCATAATTACCATTTATTTGACTTTAAATACAAAATATAATTAAAAATACAACGCAATTAAGGAAAACAAAACCCAAAGCAGATTAACGCTACATCTTCTCATAAGTTAATTCATGGCCACAGACAGTACACGTCTTTTTAAATGTATCTTCATCAATGTTTTCTTCTGGTCCATACTCATGTTCATGGATACTAGCGTCCTTCTTCCACAAGCTACTTCTCACGGCACGGCGGAGTTCTGGTGAGAAATATAAAAAAAAAAATAAAAATTAAGATTTTAATAAATCTTAAATAATGGTTAATAAAACTCAAGCTAAGCACCTTTCTGAGGACTACAGATGACAATCTGCTTGTTGCCCGCCTCCCAAAAATTTTGTGTGAGAATCTGCTGCTGCAAGAACAAGCTTTGACTCGCCTTGCAATCTTCACCTCGTTTGCATATTTTAAAGGCTAAGAACTGCGCCGACATGAGATCTCACAGAAGATTTTTCCATCTGGACCGAGTACACGTTGCCCACCGCCTTTTTACACGAAGCCATTCAAGGGTATCCAAAAGGGGTAGGTGGAATGTAGAGGAAAAGTTTTTATAAAACGCCTCATTGTTTCGCACGACCAAGAAAGAGTACTTTTCATTCAGGTCACAGTAAACTTGGCATCCTCCAAGCTTTATGCCCAATAACGCCGGTTGCCTCTGCAGCAGCCGGGGTGATGCCAGCGGGTTTGCAAGAGAGCAGGGCCTGGCAGCTGAGCCCCAGCAATGATCCCGGATGTGCCAAGCGGGTGGGCGAGCATACCGAGCAGCAGGACGTGGCCACGCTCCGGGCCCAGCCAGCCGGGCTGAAAACTTTTGTCACATTAAGGGCCTGGTACAACTGCGGGCACCGTGTGTGCAGTCTGCCCCCAGCCCTCCCGCGTTGGTGGTGGTGGCAGGGGGGGTTTGCCCGGCCTCCCCCAGACACCCACCAGCACAGCCAGCCTGAGCTCTCTGCCCCGGCCAGCGCCCACCCACAGGGGTGCTACGGGCACCACCGTCAGCCACAGCTCTTGCCAAGAAACAAACATGGGGGTTTTCACAGTTACCAGCATGTCCGTGCTGAAAGCACTTTTCCAACGTCCTACCCATTGGATACTCTCTCCTCAATACTAATTTTTCAGGAAAAAACAAGGGTAACGAGGAGCGAAACCAGCAGTGGGAATACTGTGAGAGCAGCAAAAGGCCTTTTCTACCTTCATTTACAATGACTCACCTGAAGGCACACCTATGGCAGAACTATAACCCACTGCCACAAAAATCCACGTTTTCCGCAAGTCAGAAGTAACACAATCAATCTATGGCACATTCTGAGTCATACCAAAAAAATTAAAGACCACCCTAATGAACCACTGATAATTGACTTCTGTCACTTACATCATGTCCATAGGACAACAAGGCAATTCATGTTGGAAGGGATCTCAGATCTCTGTTCCAACCCTCTGCCCAAAACGGCCAGTTATGAGGTCAGACCAGGCTGATCTGGACTTGCCCACACAGCTCTTGAAAACCTCCATTTTGCCACACTGAATGTTTTCTAAAGACTTTAGTAAGACGCAGAAACAAATTCAAACAGAAGTGTACTTTAGGTACTGCAGAATGTAAGTTTAACCTTTTACCTTTAACTTTCTTATCAAACTTCTTCTGTTTCATCTTCTCTCTGGTCTCACGGCGGAGTTCCTTTGCTTCTTGCAAGGATTCTTCACTACCCCAGACTTCAAGAGAACGCTGGATCACCTACAGGATGGACATAAACATGTTTATTTTTCCCCTGAAATGACAGAAGTATTCTAACTCACAAATTAAATTTTTCCCTTACACAAGCACAGGCCAACCCAATATTGCCTGCCTCCCATAGGTCTCTTTGCTCTTGACCTGCAAACATGCCATTCCCTCCACAGTTAAGAGGCAACATTGATTTTTAGTATCAGCTAGATTTAAATTTTCTCAGGAACATAAAAAACTCAGCTCTGATTTTGTGCATATTCCACTCAGGCACCTGGATTCCTATATAAATAGCAAACAAGAAATGACAAGCGCCCTGGAAAACCTACTGGCCTTTCCTGCTGCCTCGGAGGGCAGAGCAGGGAACAGGAGGCCACAGCTGCAAAGGGCCACCGACAGCAGCAGCTGCCCCACGTTTCAGGTTAGCACCCAAAGGCCACGTGCTTCACGACCTGCAGTGGCGCAACACACGGTACACCCAGCTTTGACAAATTCCTTCAGGAATCAAAATCAAAATGACACCATTTTGGCGACTAACGTTGTACAAAGGTAAAATTCTGAAATAATAACGCTAACGAATTATATACCTGCAGTTTTAAATAAAGTTTCATGTCACCCCATCGTGAATTATGAGGGTTTTTCTTCACAATGAATCTGAGCACTGGTTCCCTCTTGTCTAAGTCACAGTCTTTAAGAAGATACTCTTCTTTTGCTTCTGTCCTTGTTATAAGCTTATGTTTATCTTCAACATCTCTGTAAGATGTAAAATAATGGTGAGAAAAAGCCACACCTGAAAACCACAGTATTAACATCTAAGTCCCAATCACTTCTAACATTCCTGAAATACAGGTAGTCCTTATCCTCTCTGTTTTTATGTATGCAAATAACTTTGGATTCCAACAAACTAGCTAAACTCCAGGACAGGTTTACTGAAATTAAGTTTAAAAAATTCTCCCGTTTTAGAAAACATAGGCCGAGAAGCCTGTTTTTCTAGAAAGGCTTTTCTCCTATTTTCTTGCAAGAGGCAGTAACTGAAACTTAAAAGCGGTATGAATAATTTTAAGCATTCACCTAACCCAGATGCAATTCAAGAGGACAAAAGTACAAGCCTGACACATGGTCAGTAGAGAAGGAATGTGTAACGTGAGACCGGTCAGATCACCTGAGAATATACACACTCCATATGCTGCTAGATCCCAGAAACAGATTAGCAAAACAGATTAGCAACACAACAGAGCACTTGTTTCTAAATGCAAGACAGTAGGCAGAGGAACCATAAAATAAAGCGCTTAAAAGATTGCAACTTTTGCCAGACAGATAATGAAAAATTGTGTAACCACGGCAGCATTTATGAGTTAATGAAAAAAAAATTACATTTACGCAATCCTGACTGAAGTGTAACTCGAATTGCTGGAGCCGGAACAATCTGCCAAACGCTAAGTGCCAGCAACGGTCATCAAGGAAGTACTGCTGTAAATGCAGTTTTACTAGAATTCAAAGTTCAGCCACAGCTAACGCACCCAGCAACCCCCAGCCACCAGAGCGACCGCCTTCCCAAGGCAGGCCCCGCGGCCCTTCTCCTTTTCCTACCCATTTTCACCTTCCGGAGACGGCACTTTTTGTCTCGTGACGGTGCAGGGCCGGCACCATGTGCGCGGCGCCGGCCCCTCCCCGCAGCGAGCGGGGGAGCTCCCGCACCCCTCTGCCGGCTGCCATCTTCCCGCCCCGCGCCGTCCCTGCCCGCCCCGCGCTGCCCCCCGCTTATCTCCCCGGGCTTTGGGGGCAGGTTTTTGTGTGCCGCCGATAACGGCCCTGCCTTTCTGCTGAAGGTCAAACTCCTGCTTACACCGCAGCTCCCACGGGGGGGTGGGGGGCGGGAAGGGGGGGGTCCTGCCCTTCGGCTGCCACGCTCCCGGAAGGGGGACAAAGTACTAACTCCACCCGGGTCAACCCCCCCCCC